CATCGGGCTACGATCGCGCTGGCCCATCCGTACGTAAGCTAGTCTTTAATTAGTTCCCACACTTAGTTCCTCTAGGTCCGGATCCGATAACATACGGCTAGCACTACACACTCCTGCCTAGCATCGGGCTACGATCGCGCTGGCCGCATATTATTATTTATCGGTCACAGTCTCGATCCCGGAATAGGTCCTGAGGAACTAGTTCTTTGAGAAACCGGGAACTAGTTCCTTTCATTCCGGGGTCGGAGGAGTTCATTGGAACTAGTTCGTTCACGAAATGCACTTTGTTCGTTGCCATTATGATGCCTAGTGATGAGCAAATGCAAGACCAAGGCATTCTTCCTTGGTCTTAAAGTCTTGCTTAAGGTCTTCCTTGGTCTTAAAGTCTTGCTCTTGCAGAGTCCAGTCTTGGTCTTTGCCTTGCGGTAAGACCATACTCTTGCAAGTCTTATACACCCTCTACACTATTCGCAAAACACTTCGAAACAGGTCAAGTTCGCGTTTCGTCACTTAATTTTGTCGCATCTCGGCTTATCTTCGGTTGTCTAGGCCTATTTCCGTTTGTCTTGAGTTTTATTTCTTAAAAACGCCTCGAAAGGGCGTGGGGGATTTTTTTTGGCGTTTCCTGTTGTCTCGTTCAATTTTGTTTTGTCTCGAGCTACTTCCACGTCGCGACGTGTCGGTATCTATACCCGAGACAAAGGACTTTTTTTTCATAAGTCTCAGTGAAATAAGCCACTACAAAGTTTCACCTTGATTGTTTCGCGAAATAGTACGAAGAATATAAACGCGTGTTATAAAAATTTTGTGGAAGCTGATCGAAACGTTTCTCGAGACAATTCCAAACAATAAAAAACGTATAATAACAATAAAAAAAGCTTGTCTCGGTCGATTTCGATCTGTTTCGGAGTTTGCAGCCGAGACAAGCCGCAACATAATTTTACACTTTTGTAATATATTTTTACTAATGGCACTCTCTATTTAAAACATTTTTGTTTTCACAAAGAAGTTGTCTTGCTATATATTTTTATAGAAAATAAATAGTAATAAATGTCATTTTGTTTTTAAGCTCATCACAAATAAAAAAATATGCTATGATTTTAAAAACAAAATAATTTTGTTTTTAGAATATAATATATGTTTCTTATGTTATAGATGTTTGTCTGGACATTCTAATTTAGTTAAAGATGGATATAGATAAACCAATTAAATTAATTACTTAAGTAAGTTCTGTTGTTGTCAAATAATTACTTATAAACATATAAAATAGGTAATTAAGTAAAATGTTAAAAAAACTTGAAATGTGTCTAAAAAAGTATTAGGATTGAAAGTCCACGGATATCAATGCTTTTGTTTGATTAAAGGATATATACAGGGTGGATAATGTTATAATAGAACGACTCGATGTTCGTGACGAGCGAACATTCGCGTGTTTATACAGGGTGAGTCTTAAATAAGTGGTATAAGACTGGTAGATATCGATAAAAAAAATATTTTTCCCGTTATTCAAATAAGTCCAAAATAATCGAGTTATTCCAGTTTGAAAATTAAAAAATAATAAAATTTATTTATTTTTAAAAAAAATTGAGAGCCACCGGACTTTTTCTGTATTTGCATCCCTTTTTGGTGCCGTAACTATGGTAATATTAATATCAAGAATTAACAAATTATACCTTAGTAATTTGCGGTGCACAGGCAGTTCTAAAAAGTTTTCTAAAATATACGAGATAATTTAAAAGAAAATGTACGGCTTTGGTATGGGTTGGAAACCTTCATAGACGTGTTCCTGACCACACCTGAAAATATTTGCACTTATTTAAGACTCATCCTGTATACAGGGCGGCGCACCTAATTCGCCTCGGTTGATTATACGAAACCGGAAAGATGTAGAAACAAAATATTTTATGGGTATATGTGGGAATGCAATGTGCATAATTCAACATTATTTTGAAATATACAGGGTGTGTTAGAACTAATATCCATACCAAAGTTATATTTTTTCTTATGGAACACACCCGGTATTTAATTTCATTTTTGGATTCTTGGACATAAAATAAGGCATTTATTATCTTTAAGGGTTTAATATGTTTAAAAGCTTTGGTTTTTGAGATATTTAAAGATACTTAAATATGCATACGGAACTGGACGGAGGTGGAGAGGCTGTTTCATGCAGCAGAAGATAGGGAACTCTTCAACGAAATAGTCATGGAGATCGCCAACGCCTGAAGACAGGCACGGCACCGCAAGAAGAAGAAGAAATATGCATGCTATAATAAAAAAGTTTGTCAACGCCTTGTATAGTACTTTTCAGAATTAATTCTTGTACTGACTTTTATACCAGTGAAATAAACTTTGCTAAAAAATTTTATTGTTTCCTTAACTGTATACAGGGGTATCAAAAATTGCTGGTCTATTTTAAATATTTATGTTACATAAAAATTTCGTTATTTCAAATGCAACACTTTGTATTTTTTAAATAAGTCGAAGTAGTCGTGCAATCGTGATTTTACTTTACTTGATAGGGAAAGGTGTACCGGAGAAATGTGGCAACGCCGTAACAGCACATCATCGCATTTCTCTCACTCCGACTTAATAAGATCCCTATGCGATTTACTTTCACACATGTAAATACCGACCCAAAAGTAAAAGTTGCCAGCACGGTATGAGACACCCTGTATACTACTTTTATATTTTTGAATTTGCAAAAATTAATATACAAATGCTGTTATTACAGGAGCTGGTCAATTAAATTCAAAATACTGAATTTCTTCAGAATAACAAACATTAAGAACCAGTTCATATTGACGTCATCGAATTTTCGAAGAATAATTTAGAGCTGGGACAAGTATGATTACGTCACAAACCCAAATGTGAAAATGTGTTTTTATGCAAATTTAAAAATTCGAGTCTATATAAAGAAAATATAAAGTTTATTTTTAAAACTAACGTGATAGATATTTTTGTTTTGAACTCATAGAGGTTCAAGGGAAACTATGATTATAAATTATATAGTGGCGTAGTATTATAAGATGACTACTTATTGAATCAATAATTTTATGAGACACGTGGGAATACTAAAATGAGTTGTTTAATATGAAAAATAAATACTAGAGAGCAGTAGTTTGGTCGTCAGGGTAGGAAGGTAGGCGGTACCCTAAAATTTTGGCAGAATTTAAGCGAACGCATTACATTATTTACTATTAATGTTGCCAATACATAAAAATACACGGAAGAGTGTTGTAATAATCAATATATTATTTTAATATTTGTGGTCTTGTATATTAAAATATTCACTACCGCTTGTGTTCGCTGACTGTACCGCTGCGTTAGAAAACAAAATAATTTTGACCGTTGGAGTACTGCCAACGCCTTTGTTCGGCGATTTCTACATCGCCTACTATCAGAGTCGATGCTCGACGTACGGCAGTCTTCTGTTTCTGTCTGACTCATCGTACCGTAGCAACGCGACGTAAGTCGGAGTTATCGAGAGTATCGTATTAAGGCGGGGCTTAGGCGAAATCTCCGGTCGCCTTCGCATGAAGTCGTGGAGGCTCGGTAGGCTTCAAAATTAAGAGGATATTCCCGATATTTCATAAGGGGATATATCACATTTCGTTAAGGGGATATTTCATATCATTCATTATACGTAGCATTTAAAACTTTTATATGAAAATTCAAAGTGTTTAACACAAATGTATTTTGTATTTCAGAACACGCCACAGAAATAAAAGAATCCGAAATAAAATAGCGCGTTATTTTATTCGGTGCAAGAAGAACGATACAACAGATATTACAGAAAAGTCTAAATGTTTTTAACCTAGAGACAACATATATTTACGAACTGGGTTAGGGTATTATGTAAATTTAGGAGGGGGGGGGGGCAAATAGACGCAACTAAAATTTTGTCGCCTACCCAGTCACACGGGCAAGGTTCGGAAAACTACATGTTACTTTTAAAAACTACATAAACTACATTACATGTAGTTAATGTAGTTTATGTAGAGGGTGTAGTTTATGTAACCTATGTATGTAACTTTCAAATATCAAAGGTTTGAGGTGAGGTTATAATAAGTTGAAGCTTTAAAAACACATAATGTATTTAAGAAAACAGAAGAAATATGGCTTTAAATATATTTAAAGTATAATATTTACATCATATTATCTCTATTACACCTCATACAAAGGAAAATTATTCATAATATCAATACATAGTTTATTAACGTAGTTTTCATGTAGTTAATGAACGGGAAAAGACGTAGTTTTTGAAGAAAAACTACACGTAGTTAATCAGGTAAATTACGTCTTTATTAACTACTTCCGAACCCTGCACACGGGTCACGACTGTCACGAGCCGCCAATGCTAGAGAGAAATTAGTAAAACTTGAAAATGACAAATATCTGATTTGGAAAGAAAAACTTCATGACAATGAATGCAAATTGGATGATATATTTTAGAAATTACGTTTTTTTCTTTTCATCTAACAATTTTAATAAGAAAATTAATTATGAAGCAATTATGAAAATTTTCGAAAAATAAAGAAGAAAGGTTTTAACTAAAAATAAAACAACAAACATGATATTAAATAACTTTATTATATATTTTTGATTGATTTTATTCGAATAAGTGACAGACGTAAAAATTAATAACAAATACTATAATACGTTGTTCTAAGACAACATTTTTAATATCCCCTACTCAGTCTTCTGTGACAAAAGCCAAGTGACAATTGAATTAAGTGTATACCATTTAATGCATAGTATAGTACGTAGGTATAAAAAATGTTAAACATTACTTTAGAAAATACTGTCTGATGAATATATTACATAAATCCAGTAATTCCAGTGCTAACAGCTAAGTTTAATAATTATTTTTAAAGAGGTGTATTCATTTTACATTTGATTATTAAAGATATAAAGTTGAAAAAGTATTTTTTAAGTGGTTCAAAAGCCTTTCGTTACACATTATTTTTAGTACCCTAGACAAAGTTTCAGAATTTTTATTTTTTTTTCTGTAAAACTTTCATTTGTGAACCAGAATAATTCAAAGAAGTACAGAGTGGTGCATAATATTTTAAAATTAGATTGTAATAATTATAATAATTTTTTTAATTTCAATATCCATTCTAGGTAACTGTCATTAAAATTGCATTTATCCATTTGTTACAAAATTTTAAATTAAAAATAATTTTTAATAAAAAATGATTACTATCACATACTTACTATCAAAAAAGGTGCCATAGTGGCCTTTGGAATGAAAATCAATGAGAATTTTCTCGGGTCGATCCCCTATAGGTCATTTATTAAAATTGACAAAACACTTGTCGATAATTAGTATTTGAGAAAAGTAAAAAGGTTCCAGACAAAAATATTTTTTGAAAATAAATTTGTCTTCAAAACTTTCTACTTTTTTCTATATTAAATATTAATTTTTGACAAGTTTTTAAGTAAATTTCGAATAAATAACATAATATAGAGTTTGGCCCGATAAAATTATCATCGTTTGTCATTTCAAAGGTTACTGTGGCGACGGTTTTTTTCGTATTTCAAAATTTGCTGAACTTTGATTTTTTAAATCAATAACCTTTTTCTAACTTATAAATTGAAAACAATACAACATTCTGCTTATGATACACTTATCAACAACAAATAATTCAAACTAATTTGTTAAGGTAGCTGTCGCCTAGTGACGTATACTCAGTTAATTCCAGACCAAACCTAAATAAAATAAAAATATTAATGTAGTAAACAATTTAGGGCATGTTATCACAGGGTGTTTTATATCTAGGCGGATATATTATTCAGATTATCTTATACAGGGTGTCCAAAATTCGAGGATTGGAATCTGGGAATCTATATGCCATACAAAGGAGGTGAAATAACGGCAAAGATTTCACAAGTTAATGGTCACCCTCGAATTCCAGACACCCTGTGTAGGGTGTCCCATTTTCGTGTGTCTTATAGAATTTCTCCTTTATGAGTAGAGATGGTGCTATTTTTTATGAAATTACATTTCTACACACAGATTTGTCCTAGCCCTCTTACGCTTCGTCCTACGTGGGACACAAAAACGCGCGATTCGGGCGGTGCGAGTGACGGCGTATTTATCAAACAATGTTTTCTTACGAAGCTGTCCTAGGTAGGAAGCGGCATCGGAGGCAATTGAAATATGTCGCGCGTGTCGAGCTCATCGCCCTTTGTTGTCGCACGCGTCGCACGCTTGTTTTTGTCGTCCACGTAGGACGAAGCGTTAGTTTCTGAAATACAGGGCGTTGTATAATTTTAAAATAATGTGAAAACCGCATTTTTGTATTTCTACTTATAAACGAGAAACCCTGTAAAACACACGAAAATGGCACACCCTGTACACAAACTCAATTTTGTTTTAATTTTCCGTGAACTTTTTGACAGGTATTGTATAAACTTGGTATAAACATTTTTCTTAAAATGATCACAAGATATTGCTCACTCAATTGCGTTGCCATAATTAACAAATACTATGAAGGAAACTGCAGGTCGCACGACGCTCAAAATGGAACGAAATATGCTGGGAATTAGTGATGTGTCGGTATTTGAGTAACGCGATTTTGGAGCGGTATTCTTTTGTAACGCCGTGTCGCGCTCCACAACGAATGGGGAACCTGTTACTGAAGAACGACGATCACAATGACGACAAAATTATAAATTATTTATAATTTGCAAATAAATTATTTATAATCGTTCTTGAGGTTAGCTTGAACCGTAGTAACCTATAGCGACGTGTTTAGCTCCAGCTGTCGCGATTTCGTCGGTCGCCTACAATAGTTACTGGAACTATACGTAGCATCGAGCGATTTCGATGGCGACAGCGACGTGTTCGCTTCAGCCGTCGCGCTCCTAGAGTTGTAGTTCCCTGACGCGTAACTGCTGTAACTGGGCATTGACGTTCGACTTCGGCGGCGCGGCGGCCTACTTCGCTCCAGCCAGCCGTCGCGCTCCTAGAGTTTCAGTTCCCTGTCGCGAACAGAAGTAACTGCTGTAACTGGCTATCGACGCTCGACCTCGGAGGTGGCTTACTTCGTTCCTGCAGTCGCTGGAGCGCTTATAGGGTTTCGTTTTCGCCTGTAGCGATTGGGTCGGTTACTATTGGCGTTGGTGCTCCCGTTGCCGTCGCTACGTTACTTTTGAAATAGCGATTTCTGGTATGTACTAAGCATGGTATAAAATAACGTTGTTTGAAAGATGAAACGTAAAAGCAAATAAAATAAAATGAAAATTTTATTTGCTTTTATACATTTATATAAGTTTTATTGTTTATATCTATTTTTAAGGTCTGATGATGGCTGAAATTGCCGAAACCGATCACCAATAAAGAATTTTTTTGACAGTGGTTTGTGGGAGTAGGTAGGTAGTATAAAATAAAAGTTGGTACCAATGCCAGAAATACTACATAAGCGAGGACGCGACACTTAGGAAGTTGGAACCTCGATTACAAAATCGCGGTATTTTGTCGCGGTATTTTTCTGGAATGGTCGCTATTGTAACGCGACTCATGTGGAACCGGTATTCCCATCACTACTGGGAATAACCAAGAAGGACCGTAAAAGAATAGAGTAGATACGGCCAAAGATCCAGGTAATAGATGTCATCCAGAGAATCAAAGGACTCAAATGGGAATGGGCGGAATACCTGACAAGAAGGCAGGACAACAAATGGACCACAAAAATTACAGCATGGTACTTAAGAGGAATTAAACGACCTAGAAGCAGGCCAAACCTGAGATGGGACCATGATATTAGTAAATTAGGAGGGATAACTTGAAGCCGCATAGACAACAATGGGTCTAACTACAAAGAGAGTATCTAAACATGTGAGGCTGGGAGTTAAAACATCGTTTTGAGAAACTCTTGAAAAAGGCCTAACAAACCAAAAGATATCATCGCTTTCCACACAAAGTGACATAACTGACGTTTTTTTCGCTCTACTGCAAACTTTTCAAAATGTTACGACACTTTGTGTGGAAGACGAGGATATAATATGTAGAGATAAAAATAATCTCATTAAATATGAAACATCAAAAAGCGTGTTTCATTAAAACATCGATATTTTACTTACTTTTTGAAGCCTGCAGCTGTATCAGGTATTTTGCTAGGGTCGGTAACTAAAGCAGTTTTAACTTTCGAAGGATCGAAAAGTGAGGTTATGTAGAGATCACCGACTCTGTTCAAGTCTTCAGTTGTAACATATTCCAAAGCTTCCAAAAGTTTCCTGAAAAGTATAATAATATACATTTGTTCAATACAATGATCCATATTTTTATCAAATTTATCAACGTAGCAAAAATCTGCGATAGGCTTGGTGCATAACTAGCATAAATTTTTTATGAACATCTTTTAAAATTATAATTATGTTATGTATAACTAGTAAATAGTACCTTTAAAAAACTTCGTTACAGCCGAAATAACACAAGTTATATCTCCAATAGCAAAACCGGTGCGTAAAACTATGCTCGCTACCGTAGTTGAACTCATCTAAAAAGTTTTATTAGCTTCAATAATAAATTATAATACAAGTTAGACCTTCTAAAGATATCAACGTATTTACATTTTTATTTTTTTTAGAATTTTCACAAATTATACTTCCTAAAACACTTTTAGAATAATTATATAACCTTTTTTTTTGTATACTCGCTATTTAAAACCGTGTATTTGTATATACCAGTTGTTTCGATATTCTACGACGGTGGCAGCAATGGCGGAGAATGCACCAAGCCTATATTATATTTCTAGAAAGTTCATAACAAAGCAAAAGAAATATATACAGGTTGTCCCATTTAAAAAATCATAAGTCTTCCAGCGAAAAACTAGTTACGCCACTGGATTCTATGTGAAAAACTCTACAGGACTGTTTCAAGTTATAAAAACCGAGATACGACACGCGACGGGAGTTGAAAAACAGGAATTAAGAGGGCTAGGATAAACATCTTTAGTTTAATAAAAAAAAATATATCTTTATATCTCTACTCGTAAACGTGAAACACCATAAAACATACGAAAATGGGACAACCTGTACATATTAAACAATTTTTCATACCTATTGTAAGAATAATCGACACCATCAAAATACGATCGAAGCGACAAGCCGACCACACTGCCGATCGTTTTTTCCTCTTCAATTATATCAAAAATTAAGGAACTTTTAGCCGACTCTAGTAGAGTACTGTCCCACTCTTTGGTGCTTACGTGTTTGTTGACAATCTCTTTTGCTTCTTGGTAGGCACTAAGGACGTTGGTGGCCTTGGCAAAGATCAGATAGAGCAGGCCTTCGCTAACCTTGACTGCTATTCTGTAACCGTACGAGTAGCCTTTGCCACGAATTTGTTTCCACATTGGACCCTAAAAATGTTATAAAAAAAACTAAAAAAACAGTGTGTGCACTATGTGCGCATATTTGAAGTGAAACTTCTTACTAACAGCTATTAAATTGAATGATTTGAAGGGTATACCGTGCTGGCAACTGCTACTTTTGGGTCGGCATTTACATGTGTGGAAGTAAATCGTATAGGGATCTTACTAAGTCGGGGTGAGAGAAATGCGACAGACCGACGCGACGCGCGACGGTGTGCTGTTGCGGCGTTGCCGATACGATAATAAGATTTTCCCTATCAAGTAAAGTAAAATCAAGAGGTGAAAGTAAAAGTAAAATTAAAAGACTTTTTTTCAAGAGATAACTAGATAAAATCATTAGACATGTTTCTGAGCATCTGAAATGGAATTATAAGGATATTGTGAGGGTGTCATTTTTTTATAACGAGAAAACGTCAGTAATCGCGATAATTTAAAAACTCAACTTTTTAAAATATAACAGGCCATAACTCAAGAACCACTTTAGATATTGAAACTTTTTTTTATTTTCAAGATCGGATATTTTACAATATGTTTCAATAAGAAAAATTCGATAAGGTTGTTTTTTCCATTCAAAAATTGTAAACAATTCATACATGTACTGTTAGAGCATAGCAATTTTCAGCAATCGTGTAATTTTTTTATTGATAAAGATTTTCACATACTGTGTACAAAGAAAATACATGCTGGCTGCGGCGCGCCGCTGACTCAAGAAAAGGATCGATACGGCCACCGAGTGGGGGTTTAAGATTATTATTTGTAGACATTGTATTGTCAACTCTGACGCGTAGCGCATCTCTCGCGTAACTCTGACGCGTAACACGTGCCCGACGACATACAGCAGGAATATTAACAAAGTTCTTGAAAAAACTACAGTCTATTATTTCTAATAGATTTCGAGATATCGATTTTTGAATTCAGAGTTCGACCACTATCGAACACCCACTCAATTCCACTTATTTTTACCAAAAATGCAAGTCTTTCTAGCTTGCACTTAAAAAAATTCAAGCTATAGGGAAAATTACAACGACTCGTTAATAAATAAACAAATCAAGTGTCACGAGATGTAATTAAATCGTGAAGTTGAACGCATGACGTACACCTTTCCCTAGAACTTTAAGTATTGACAGAGATATTGATTGGGTCGACCAGTCAACTGCGACAAATCTGCTATATCCCCTTAGCGATGTGCACAGTTTCTCGGTTTATTTCGTACGTTTGGCAACATGTTTATTGTCCTCTCTTTGTTTAGTACATTATAAACGCATTGTACTCTTCTTACATACGGAAATCTCGATCCAAGACTAACCTTTGCCAGCCCTTAGTATATTTGTTTATGAACGTTTTTTATAAACTTCAAAAAAATGACAGTTAATATAAAACCGTATACTATTCTAGCTTTATAATAATTTTATAATGTTGTTTTTTTAATTTTTATTAAAAAACGATAATTCTATCACCCGGCCGGATAGCCCTGGCAGCTCTGGCCATTAAACCAAAACATTACCACATCTATCTATATCACTGACCACTACTAACCAACAACAATTGTTAACAACATCTAACAATTTGTTTTGTGTGAATTGCGGTTTGTTTTTGTATAAATGTTCTGTTTATTGTTATTATATTGTTTATTATTCAATATTTATAGTGATTTATAGTAATTTTATTAAATTATACGAATATTCTCGTTAATTATTGGTTTGAAATAAATATGCCTGTCCTCCAATGAAAATACGAGTTACTAACTCTAAATTCTAATTCTGATCTGGCAAATGAGCTAGATGTCTTATCTAGACCGATATTCAGAAGTTACAAACCAATCGATGAAAATATGCATGAAAATTCCACACCTGTAATTTTTAACCAATCAAAACGTGTTTTTTAACAAATCATCATGGCAACGGATACATTTTAGTGATAATTTTTTCCTTGTGGGCACCCAACAGCGAATTATACTGGAAATTTTTTGACGTTTATAATGACAGAATATTTTTTTGAGAGTCTGGTTTTTATTTGTTTACATGATAATTTTGATACATTTCAATTACAAAGCTGAGATGTTTTCTTTTTTCTTAATGGCGAAAATGTACGACTTGGAATGTACTGAATTAAATGTCTATGTGTAATAAAATATATATAATATTTAGACACTATTTTCTCAGTGGCGTAGCGTGGATTAGGTGCGCCCGGGGTGGAGAGCCACTAAGAGAGAGGTTTGCCGCCCCTACAGAATCAGTCCGCCCCCTTTATAACAATTTCTTGTCGCCCCACAGGTACTTGGAAGGTCGCCGCCCGTGGCGTCCCGCCCCCGCCTTGCTACGCCACTGTATTTTCTTCACCTTTTTTCCATTTAGTACTTTGAATTTTGAGTAGTTTAGATGCAAATATTCGTGATCAATTCGAAACAAATTTTCTTTCTTCAAGTAGGAGCCACAATCCTCCATTAATGCAAATAAAATAGGGTAAATAAGTCATCGTACGATGATTGATCATTACATCAGACAATTTCACGCATATTTTGCATGTAGTATGATTTTCAAACCAATTCATTTTTAAAACAAAGAATTTTGTTGTTTTTTAAATGCTGCACGATATTCTTTATTACAACAAAACGCGAGTTTTTCTGATATTTTGAACTGTCAAAATACGATGATCACAGCCTTTTATGATTGACGCTTGCTGACGCTGCGCGCTGGTTATGAATTCCATACCAATAAAGCGTTGCAATGCAAAAAAGCAATTTTCTACCACTTGTAGTTACTCAAAACTTATGCAAAATTGAAGAATATATTGTGTTGTGTCTTGAGATGATATTTTCGTGCAACTACAACGAGTAGAAGTCAACAATTTAAAGGTCTAGGTATATCCTCTCTGTCGAAATCATACGATTTTTCTGCGCAAAAGTTTGTAAACTGCTTCCATACGCTTGACTTCGATTTCCTAGTATTCGCGGGTGTCAACTGCTTAATCTCCTGGCGAATATTTTCTTTGCTTTCTTGACCGAAGCGAAACATTTTTTTAAGTCGTGCCGCTTGACAGCTTCAAAACTGAAATAGTTTTTAGGTTTGGGTGTCACTTAGTTACCATAGTAACTAAATAATCAAGTCGACCAAAAATCGAAAAATATGTTTTAATTATTTTTTTTTCAAACACAATTTGGTGTGGAATTTTCTTACCGAATACCACACGAGGTCAAATTAAATAAAAAATTTGAGCTCTAGTGGTATTACTAGTGAAAATTTACTTCCAGCACACAACCAGAGGATATTGGTACACATCAAGGTTGGTACAGTATCAAGTTTATTATAGCCGCTTATGGTACAATCGTTAACCAGTGTTGCCACAAGTTCATTTTTCATCGGTGTAGATTATCAAGAGATAGCGGGGTTAAATTATTTTATAAAGGGGTAGATCTACCCCGAATGGGATGACTGTGGCAACACTGCCGTTACCACTTTTCCTCTCGCTAGCTCGTGCGTCACGGCCGTCATTCAAGGCCGTGTATCATGATAAAGTAAAATGAAGTGCTGCTCAATATCTTAAATTATATGACAAACATTTATGCCAAAATTTCATTTAGTTAGGTTTATAGGCCTAAAGCCTATAATGCGATTAATTTTGCTAATTAGTTTACTTTTGTTCATAAAATCTTTGTACTCAGATCTACTATTATTTTGAAGAAAAAAAAAGAAAAAGAAATAATTAAATTAGAATTATTATCATGTACTTACCTCCGCTTGTACCAAATACTGAACGTACAGCATCAAGGCTGGAAGATCCTTATCTTCAAAAGAAGTAATACACTTGGTCGTCTGATAGAAGAAAGACGATTCAATACATCCTAAACCGATTATGCAACCAGGCTTAGGAGCATATTCCGGATCGCTTAAAAGATCGTAATCTGGAATACACTTTAACCTAAAAAAAATAGAGTTCACTTTTCATTTCCTCAAATTCAAAAATAAAGGAAAATAGTTACTTTTGAATTTGGGATAGATTTTCAGTAACATAAAACTGATTCAATGTTTTTGCTGGGTCAGTCAAGTTATCTAAATTTCCTGCTAGATAAAGTGTTAGATTAGATGAGCTAGTTATGTTGGATCTAAGCTTCTCAAGCTGATCTAGCACTTCTTGAGATTGGTCTCCGTTAAGTTTTTCGGTGAGTTCTGATAAGAATTTGCTTTGAAGAAGTATTCCATTTACATAAACGTTAGTTCCTAAAACGAGTTGTAAAGTAAATACAGTATCAGTAAGGCTAAAATTAAGGAAGTTAGTGTGATCAAATAAAAATGGGTACAGTATACAGGGTGTCCCAATATGCCGTGGACAGAGAACTACTACGTATTTTTGACGGTGCCGTTAAAAAAATCAAAAGTTGTAGTCAATTCCGGTACCGAAAATAATTGAATACATCAGTTAATTCAACCTGATCAAACAGAGATAGATAGAGCATTAGAAACTAGTTTGTAGAAGTTGATTTATTTATAATAACTACGATTAATATTATGCGTATTATTTGATCATACACTGAGATTTCAAACTCACAATAAAAAAAGTTAAAAATAATATTTTTCAATTGCTGGCCTGGATATTATTTATTTGAATCTTTCAATTGGCTCGATTTTCCATGTTCAATGTTAATTAACGCTGATCAATATTGTTGCGATGAGTACAATCAGATTAAATAATTTAAAAAAACATAGTCGGACTTGAAATTATTTCAAATAACAATTAAATAGTTTTGTTATTGTTAAGGTACTCAAAACAAAAAAAAACTATAAAGTGTGTCATATCATTGTACTCAAAAGACCGAGTTCTTTCAAAACCTGAAATAAAAAATGCAGGTCCGTATTTAAAAAAATTAAGTGGGCCTCTGTATGTCACAAATTATCAGCCAATTTGAAAATCTAAAAATACTATCAGATAGCCCTAATAAAGTGGCTATGAGAACATGCAATTAGTTTTTTTTTGATTTTGTAAAAAGTAACGACAGGAAAAAATAAAATTGATTTTCAAAAAAATCCGTTTTTTCCAAAAAACTCAACAATCTTTGAAATTTTTATGAACATCCTCAGGAGCAACTTTGCTCCAATTTAACCATCTTTGTATCTACTACGGTTTTCGAGATACCAATGCTCGTACCTTGAATTTGTAGCACCCTGTATAATAGTTCGTTTTTTTTTGGATATCTTCCGGAAGGATTCTGTTATTTTTAATTTGCACAACGGCATTTTATTAGTCATAAAATTGCCCAACTATTCTATAATTTAACCTTCTTATGTATTATGGTTTCCGAGATATCAATAATCGCCCTCGAATTTAGGACATCCCGTACATACCTTTTGTTTTAACAACATTTAATAAAAACTTCGGTTAACTCAGGAATAAACACAGTAAATTTCAAAGTAAAATGCCATTTATTCATAGATAAAGGAAACAAGTTTAGATTGGAAAGTGTCCATAAGGACAATGTAAAAATACTATTTGGCGCTATTCTTACAACGGTCGCTCTCCAAAGTTTTTGGTAATTTCGGAGCGGTTCGGCTTTTTCTGGAATTATGTCGCCAAATATTATTTATTCAAATTTATTACTTTCTTTTAATTTTTTAAATCAAATACTGTGTCTTGCATATGAGAAACTTTATTTTATATAAAGATTTGTATGAAATACCTATGATTTTTTCAGTTCACAGTTCACACAGCTTTTTAAGTTTTTAATGCCACTTTTCACAACTATTACGGGTTTGAGTAAATAAAATTTAAGTTAAACTCACAAGATAGCAATAATTACTTTGAAAATGGACGCTTTAAACACTTGAAAATGGACGCATACACTTCAATGAGGGCGGTTTAAATTTTAAAAGATTTTATAATTTTGAAGATACCGTCTTTGACAAGAGAAAAATTATTTCTGTTCTTGTTTGCGGATGTTCTTAGCAACCGCTATGGCAGCGCCCTACAGCGTATGCGCTCCAAAACAATTATAAGTTTTGGCGGCAAGCTGAGCAGTCCAATTTAAACTTGTTTCTTTTATCTATGCATTTATTTGACTATTCTAATATCGTTTTATACGATAAAACAAAAGTAGTTGAAATATACCGACTTCATTATTATAATAAAACACTTACCTTTAGAATACCACAAGTTTTCATGGCATAAGAAGCGACATTTCTACCGCTTCTTTTAGCCTGTGCAACTGTATTGTTCATTTTTAAAGCAATAACTTTAATTCTATCTAGAGTAAATTTGGTTTTATAGAGCAATTCTTGCAGCCATTGCATTCCTTTCTCGTGTTTGCTTGGCCTCTACCTGTATGGCTAATGTTGCTGTTTGAGAGTAGGACCCACAGGAGAACAAACTACCTCCACCTAAGCCTAAAAATAACAAAAAATACAATAAATACAGAGTATATGTATAAGCTAAGAAATCTAGTACCTATAGAAGTTCCTGTGGTAACTGTATCGATCATTCAACTGAGCTACTTACATCTTCATAAGGAATTAATTGACCATCTCTTTCAATTGGTAGTTCTAGCAAACTTTCCAAAAGTAAAGGTAAGTATACCCTCAAATCTTGAGGAACTTTTGAAGTATCTAGTAACCCATAAATCTAAAATCAATATTTTATTTTTAAGGTTGCCTCAACCTTTTTTAACCTAACATCTTTGACAAGGTAATAAATTGACTGGTCATTAGTCCAAGAAAATAGGCCTTCACATACGAAGTTTTGGTAAAAAGTTGAATTTTTGATATAAGTTACTTTAAAAGATCTACTTAGAATATACGGAATAATATACATGTATTGATTTCTTTCGAAAATCGACAACTATGATCCCTTCCCCGACACGAACGGTACATTGTGAGACAGGAAATTGTAGAGAGAAACAAGCCCTATAACATAGGATACAACATTTTAATGAACAGTGCTTTCCATACAATCAATAAAATGAAAAATATACGAAATAATATGCGCATGTACTGATTTCTTGCGAAAATCGACAACTATGAAACTATGTACTCTTCCTGGACATAAACGGTACATTGTGAGACAGAAAATTGTAGAGAGAAACAAGCCTTATAACATAGGATACAACATTTTAATGAACAGTGCTTTCCATAAAATCAATAAAATGAAAAATATACGAAATAATATGCATGTACTGATTTCTTTCGAAAATCGACAACTATGAAACTATGAACTCTTCCTGGACACAAACGGTACATTGTGAGACAGAAAATTGTAGAGAGAAACAAGCCCTATAACATAGGATACAACATTTTAATGAACAGTGCTTTCCATAAAATCAATAAAATGAAAAATATACGAACTAATATGCATGTACTAATTTCTTTCGAAAATCGACAACTATGAAACTATGAACTCTTCCTGGACACAAACGGTACATTGTGAGACAGGAAATTGTAGAGACAAACAATCCCTATAACATAGGATACAACATTTTAAAATCAACAATGATTTCCATAAAATCAATAAAATGAAAAATATACGAAATAATATGCATGTACTGATTTCTTTCGAAAATCGACAACTATGAAACTATGAACTCTTCCTGGACACAAACGGTACATTGTGAGACAGAAAATTGTAGAGAGAAACAAGCCCTATAACATAGGATACAACATTTTAATGAACAGTGCTTTCCATAAAATCAATAAAATGAAAAATATACGAAATAATATGCATGTACTAATTTCTTTCGAAAATCGACAACTATGAAACTATGAACTCTTCCTGGACACAAACGGTACATTGTGAGACAGGAAATTGTAGAGACAAACAATCCCTATAACATAGGATACATCATTTTAAAATCAACAGTGATTTCCATAAAATCAATAAAATGAAAAATATACGAAATAATATGCATGTACTGATTTCTTTCGATAATCATTAACTATGAAACTATGAACTCTTCCTGGACACAAACGGTACATTGTGAGACAGAAAATTATAGAGAGAAACAAGCCCTATAACATAGGATACAACATTTTAATGAACAGTGCTTTCCATAAAATCAATAAAATGAAAAATATACGAAATAATATGCATGTACTGATTTCTTTCGAAAATCGACGACAGTGTAATCTCTAGAGTAAAAATATGATAAAAAATGCTTATTGCGAATACCTTGATGGATTGGTAACGAGTTATAATGCAATGGTATGAAAAAAAGTTTATAATTTTGTCTGGGGTAGACAATGGCTTTTTTTCTATATTATTAGCACGCCACTGCTGTATATGGTAATTGTAAAACAATTTCCGATGCACGTGATCAACTTTGAGCGATAAGCGATGGCGACAGCGCTGCCAGATTGTGATATATTTATGAGATTAATTTAAAATTGACAAACATATTTATTATATCATATTTTAAAGAGTTTTACGTTTTATTTTTAATTTAATAACTAATATTTTAGTGATTAATTGTTTTATTTGTTTTATAGCCTATTTTACTTATTAGATATTAGCAAAAACTAGTCCTTTATGAAGATTATTATAAACGTTATTATGGGTTATTTATTTATTGATGTACAACTTACAACGCCATAAATGGTAATAACAAGTAAGAGGGTGCTATTAATCACAGAATTTCAAAATAGTTATAAAAACAGGGAAGCTACAAGCTTTTTGCTTCGACTGTTTAAATGCTTCGGCATATTTTCAACACACAATTTCAGGAACTGCAAAACAAAAAATCGAAAATTTAGTTCTTGAAAGAACTGTTTGAGCTTTAAAAAAAATTCAATTCAATTTAAAAAAAACTATGAAAATAGGCAAAAAAACGAGAATTACTCACGAAGATTCAACAACACGATATTATATAAAATAATGACTGACACTAGGATAATTATTGTCAAATAATAAAGGACAACATTTCTGAACACGGCGCAATGTGAGAGATAATAAAATTCGGTTTAAACTAATTTTTGCAGCTTTAATCTAAATAAAATATCTGTTAGAATCATTTGCTCTATAAAGTAAAATGAGGAACTGCTCGGTATCTTAAATTATACAACAAAGTTAAACATTTTTGCCAACATTTCATTTAGTCAGGTTTATAGACTTTAGTGTCAATGTCGATATGATTGATGACGTGCACCGGAAGTTGTTTTGTGATTACAATAGTTATAAGTTATAATGTAATGGTATGAAAAAAAAAAAAGATTTTATAATTTTGTCTGAGGTAGGCAACGTCTCTTTGCCTATATTATAAGCACGCCACTGCTGAATAGATATAGATCAGTCAAGTTATTAACCTGTCAATGATAGAAAACCCACAAACACAAATCCTGTTTTCAAATGATCAAAGTAAGTAAAGATGGGTGTCTGAGACAGATCCAGTCTACCATCCGGATTCGAGTCCGTTCTGTATCTGTCTAAATTATGAAACTTAATCGACTTCAAACTCGGGATGGGCACAGAGGTCAACATTTCTTTTGGCGGTTCTCTGTCGTTGAACTCGATGGCTTTTTGCAAAATGTCAGCTTTCTCTTTCAAGCCTTCGAGAGCCAAAGTCTCTCTTTGTTTCTCCACTCTTAGTTTTTCTTCTTTCGCCATTTCTTGCTGTTCTTCCTTGCTCGGATAGCATTGGATTGATATATACTTGTTATTAACGAAGTACTTGTCGAGAATTTGTAGCCAGAATGATTTGGATTCTTTGCTTAGTTTAGCCAGATCGTCTAGTGGATTAACTCTTTGTTGTAGCTAATAAAATAAAAAGATAATCATCAGAATAAAGCTTCATTCAAACAATCTGGAAATTAGTGGAATAAATTAGTGGTTTCAATTAGCGTAGAAATCTGTTCCTTTAATTTCAATGTAAGCATTCAGAACGTCAAAATTGGTGATAGTAATTTTTAGTTAGTGGACACACTATTATTTCAGTCAAATAACTATCTACTCAACGTGTTTATTTTTTGTTAATAATGACATGTATTGACTATATGCATTCTAAATATCTTGAGAACGTGAAAAGTCACGGAAATGTATATTTTTTTCACTCAGTAGTTTTATACAGGTACGGACGAAAAGTTATTACTCCTAAAAACGGTTAAAACACAATACATGTAGATGGCGTCTCCTACAAATAGGAGTCATATTGACACCAAAATCAAATTTCTCATGTCAAAAAACTCCCAGACACCAATTTTCATTCAAATATTGACGTTACTTCAGAAATTATTTGAAAAAAATCGAAATAAAAATGAAACTTCTACACCCTGTATGTCCGAAACTAAGCGTTTTAGAACATAATTAATAAGAACTTTTTTACTTATCTTTGTCTGCAGAATATGCTGCCGAAGTTAAAATATATCGATAGGTAAATTACGATAAGTTATCGATAGATAAAAAAAAAATTTTTTTTTTCTAAAATGTATTATCGTCCATCCCTAATCGGAATTATAAAATATGAAAAAAATTGACCAAAACAGTTTTTTTTCGCAAAGAATTATAAAAGATAATATCTTACATCTTCCTTGGTATTTCCATACAACATATGCCCAATTATCATAAAGGCGATTGAATGATGGGGATTGTTTTCGATGTTACTGATATTCTCCAACTTATATCTGTTAATAATACTTTCAAGTTTTTGCATGTCGATCTCTTCACTGTTTAGAATCCTTTGCAATTCCTCTTTTAACTTGCTTTTTAATTCACTCAATTTTGATACTGGCACATTCTCAAACATTATATAGAAACAAGTTTCCGAATTCTCATATAAGTTGTAACACACCTAAAAAAATAGATGTAAAATGTACAGGGTGTACATTAAATAAATGCCAGTATTGGTAGTATACAAAAAAATATCTTAGTAATTTTGTTTAAGTGCAAACGTAAAATATGTACTAGGATGTATTCCAGGAAAATATTTTAACTTCTACAGGGTGGCTCAAAAAAGTATGAGTGGATTGAGATCAGTGGATTGAGATTGGCATGATTTAAATCAAATGATTTAAATCATGATTTAAATCGTGATTTAAATCAAGTGATTTTTTAAATTTTAATCATGCGATTTAAATCAAAAAAATGTTTTATTGAAACTTTATTATAAATCAAAATATAAATGTAAAAGTTACAAAAATGTGTCCTAGACAACTATAAAACATATTTCTGTAACGGGTATAACAGAAAATAAATCGAAAAATAATTGTAAATGTTATAAAACTATAGAAAAATATCTATTCGTCAATTTAATTCTTTGACCGATTTTTGAAGTAATTTCGTGTGAATCCATTTTAGACCGCTAAACACATTTATTTTAAAATTTATGTATAAGTGACAAAAATTCGCTGTTTGAATACATATCATTCGCATATTCGCAGTCTAGTGCAGAACTAGGTTCTTCTAATATAGAGACTATATCTTTATTCCCGAGAATCTATAATCGTTGTCAGAAAATATGTTTTATATTTTTTTTTGAAACGGTTGTATGTCTACAAATTCCTAGCGACATTTTGATCTGCAGTAAGTACTTTACACTTTGACATTAGATTTATAATACATACTAATTTCTTCTCTACTTAAGAATATTTCGGAACAATAGTGTATTGTTTTATTAGGAGTATAAATAATATATAGTATGTATAATATATAATACATTTTTACTCGGAATAGAACATATACTATATTTTATAAACATTACAAATAATTTTTTAGTCAATTACAAACATTACAAATAAAAAAAAAACAGTAATCGAGCAACAATTTGTACACTCGTTGAATTTTACACTTAATATCAATTTAATAATATATTTTTGTAGTTTTATGCCTAGGCGTTAAAATGACAAAAATTAATACTTTTCAGACGTTTGAAAAAAAAATCCTTTTCATTTGAAGCGAACGACTTTTTTTGCGGAATATACTGGTTAGGTTACGACAGATGTGGAAAAATCACAAGGGCCCATAGAATTGTTAATGTTATCGGTATCGGGGTTTAGATATAGCCATTTACGATAGGACTTTAATTGGAAATAAGTCGTAGTCATTTGTAAATCCGATTTAAATATTGTTTTGAATTAAAATCAAAAAAATCTGATTTAAATCAAAAAAATCTGATTTAAATAAAAAAATCTGATTTTTTTGATTTTAAAAAAAAATCATGATTTTTTCCAACCCTGATTGGGATACATTTTTTCAAACAAAATACCCTGTATATTATTGCATTTTTGGCTTTCTTTCTGATCACTTTACATAATCCTAAGATATTATTAAATATGTTTTGATAATTTCAGAGATATTAATAAATAAATAAAAATATACAGCCTTTTTAAAAAAATATTAAAAATACAAAAATACCCTGGAATCAAAACTATATTAGATATTTACTATAATTATTGGTCTTTATTTAGTTTGCTATGAATATAGTAATATAAAATCATACAGGGTGTTCAAAATTCCACGTCAAACTTTCTACAATATAAAACGATTTTTCTTCGTTCTTTTAAATGAACACCCTGTATATTATTTTTTGATTGAGAGAGAATTAAAACATTTTAATAAACATTTTCTGTATTAAAAGTATTTCAAAATATTTAACGGTTTTGCAGATATTGGCGTTATTATTCCATATGGGCTTTTAGCACATTTCAAGCACATAAACATAATACTGTGTGGGAACACAGGGCGTCAAATAATTTACAACTGCTTTTAAAAATAGCAAATAGATTTTTTTTCTCCAAATACCCTCACTTTAAAACACCTTGTACAAAAAAATCAAAGAAAAATATTGTGTGTTTGCATGTTTACTTACATTACTGGCATACGGATCGTCAATTTCAACAAATGCCTTCGGCAATGGAGATACAGAATTCTCAGTAAAATACTTTAATAACAGCGAACATGCTGTCATTGTGTATAAATCAGTAACACACGACGGCCCTCTCCAAGCTATAGCATACAGACCATTATCTTCATCGTCAGACGGATATTTAATAACCAATTCCTTAGAAGAATCCAGTGGCGGTACAGGAGATTGCCATGGTCTTTGAAAAGGTCCTCTTTCACCCTGAAATTAATTTATTAATAATAAATATACAGGGTGGTCCGAATTGTAACTGGGAAACTTCTGCAAAATATACTGCACATAAAAATAAATAAAAAGTTTGCATAAATGTATGTCCTAAAATGCTTCGTTTTGGAGATACAGGGTGTAAAAGCTTCATTTTTATTTCGATTTTTTTTCAAATAATTTCTGAAGTAACGTCAATATTTAGATTAAAATTGGTGTCTGGTAGTTTTTTGACATGAGAAATTTGATTTTGAAACACCTACATCTGTTTTAACTGTTTTGAAGAGTAATCATTTTTCGTTTGTACCTGTATAAAACTACCGAGTAAAAAAAATATATGTATATTTACAACGTTTTTTACATTAAAAAGATCTCTTGGTAAAAATCGCTATGAGTAATGGTTCTCGAGATATTTGGAATCGAAATTATCAATACATCGTTGACATAAATTAAATATGTTGACTAAATAGTTATTAGACTGAAATCATAAATTTGAAATGTTTTTGTGCCAACAGAAAGCGTTTTATCATCATTTTTCCGCAGAAAAATTTATGATTAATTTTAAAAAAATAAAAATTTCCCAAATTTATTATTCCACTCAAATAACTATCTACTCAACGTGTTTAATTTTTGTCAAAAATGACAGGTATATTGACTATTTCCATTCGAAATATCATGAGAACGGTTGCTCGTAGCGATTTTTGCAAAATATCGATATATGCAAAAATCACGGAAATGTATATTTTTTCACTCAGTAGTTTTATACAAGTAGGGACGAAAAGTTATTCCTCTTCAAATATGTTAAAACCTTGTTAAAACACATGCTGATAACGCCCCCTACAAATAGGAGTCATATTGACGTCAAAATCAAATTTTCATGTCAAAAACCTCCCAGACACCAATTTTCATCCAAATATTGAAGACACTTCAGAAATTTTTGGAAAAAATCGAAATAAAAATGAAACTTGTACACCCCGTATCTCCGAAACTAAGCAATTTAGGACATACATTTATACGAACTTTTTTACACAGTTTTATCTACAGAATCTGCTATCACAAACTGTTCTAAATAATAATAAACAAGATCTGTAAAAACATACTTTAGAAAGTATTTGAAATTCTAGAGGTTCCAAAGCTTTGAAAACATCTTGCGGATTGATTTGCCCAGTAACTATAATTTTCAAGTTTTCGGGTCTATAAAGCTCTTTATGATACGATCGAACCTAAAAAAATATGTAGATAAAAATCGTCAAATCGTTTTCTTAATGATATACTTTTGTGTTATTAGTTGATTCCCTCAAATTCTTCATTATACCACCAGTTTCAGAAGAATATCCGCAACGGCCGGGGTAAATGTTTCGAGCTACAGCCAAATGCAATCGAGATTCAGCTGAGTTTTCCCTGCCTTGCATTTCACAATAAACAACGCCAGCGTCTTCACCCTCTCCTGTTATGTGATGAACTTCGGTAACAAAACTTTCCTCCTAAGTTAATTACAATAATTATATTAATATTATACAGAATTAATTTATCCAGTATTATTTAATAGGCGACAAAATTTTAGTGGCGTAAATTTAAGAATAAACAAATTTCAAGTTGCCTAAAGTATGTTTTTTGGATTTATTTTTTTGCAAATTGTATGGGTTACGCAGTAGCGAAATACCCCCAACCCCCCAGCCAGACTTAGATTCTGGGTTCACAAGTTATTAAAATTTATTTTTTTTGTTATTCTAACTTGCCTAAAATATGTTCTCTAAATATGTCGCCAGCTCTCCGGCTATGAAAAGATCTTTTTAGATGGAAAGTAAGGCAAGTGACGATAAACGTTTATTTTTCATGGAATCTCTACTATACATTTTAATGCATTTCAAACATGAAAAATGTCTCTCAACCCAGGTACTTGTAAATGGTGTAGTAACGAACAAAACAAACAAGTTGAAAGCCTCTGGAAATATATTTCCAGGATTATTCTCCTTAAATTATTTTATAATCGAAATTATCATATTTATTATTAATACCTGCAATTTATTCATTAAAGTACGTTGGTCAACAATAACATTTTTTGTTTGTTAAATCGCTATTAAATCAATATAACAAGTTTGTTAAATCAGATGTTAAATGCGTTGGAAATTTTTTATAGGATTCTTTAAATTTCGGATCCGCAAGAGATAAATAAAAATAATTGAGACATACCAGTACCTATCTGCAAACCTTATTTCTAAACGTATAACAATGTTATCTAATATTTCATAAAATAAAATTCGCAAAAATATTTGACTTAGCCGCTGTTATTAACATATCGAATTCTGTAATATCTGTTGTATCGTCTTCTTGCGCCGAGTAAAATAACGCGCTTTTTTATTTCGGATTCTTTTATTTCTGTGGCGTGTTCTGAAATACAACCGGTTATATCATTTTGAATAATCTCGGACAAGCCCGAAAAATGTTTCCAATTTGCTTTAAACGTTTTTTGAATTTTCATATAAAAGTTTTAAATGCTACGTATAATGTGAATCATATGAAATATCCCCTTAACGAAATGTGATATATCCCCTTATGAAATATCGGGAATATCCCCTTAACTTCTAAGCCTACCGAGCCTCCACGACTTCATGCGAAGGCGACCGGAGATTTCGCCTAAGTCCCGCCTTAATACGATGCAACTCCGCCTTACGTCGCGTCGCTACCGCACTTCTACCGCACGATGAGTTAGACAGAGACAGAAGACTGCCGTACGTCGTGTATCGACTCTGATAGTAAGCGATGAAGAAATCGCCGAACCAAGGCACTCCAACGGTCAAAACTATTTTGTTTTCTAACGCAGCGACACAGTCAGCGTACGCCAGCGATAATGAATATTTTAATATACAAGACCACAAATATTAAAATAATATTGATTATTAAAACACACTTCCATGTATTAACAGTATTTTTATGTATTGGCAACATTAATAGTAAATAATGTAATGTAATAAACCGCTTAAATTCAGCTAAAATTTTAGGTTAGGTTAGGTAGGTTTTTCTTTTCAATTTATTTTCTGAAAAATATCAATATAAACTCATGATATTAACTGAAACAAATAGCAAGTTAACTAGTTTGAAAACTAGCTATAGGAAACCAGCTCCTTTGCAAAAATAGACAAATTTTTACAAAATAACAGCGTTTTTAGTTAGTTTGTAAAATAGCTGGTTAGTTTAAAAACTAGCCAAAAGTATGCACTTTAGCAGTAACATGTATAAATAAAATCTTACATTCAAATTTGGATACAAAATATGTTCCAAAAATATGGGCATTAACGATAGAAATCCCTCAGACCCAGCAGTTTCCATAGTGTAACAAGTATGGTCAATATCGGTCCAGGCATTCGTACCAGAAGCCAGACAACGGTTTGCCAATAGATCTAAAACCCCTTTAAAAGGATAGTTTTCACTACCCAAAAAAATTAAATGCTCGAGAGTATGAGGTAGACCATCGTCATCAAATGCTTCGGTAACTAGAAACAAACAAAAAAACAAATAACAAGTTTAGAAGTTATAATTATGCTGTTATACTAACCTAAACAAAAGTATCCATTAACTATAGGACCTTCAACTTCAGCAATGCAGACTGTGAGGCCGGTCTTTTTCGAAACATACTCAGCAACCGGTATTTTATTAAAGGCCTTCAGGGAATAATACAACTCAAAATTCCCGGTTTCGTTGTTCGGGGTAGAATCAGTTGGAGGCATTTTGCGGCAATATGAAACTACTTCTAATCAACTCGTCCTGACTTTGGTTTCAGGTTTCAGACAGCCGAGTACACAATTTTTTAGAACAATTACGCTTTGGAATGCGGTAAGTAAGCTAAAAAAAGTAATGACAAAATCACAGACAAAATCTATACACAAAATGTCGTCAGAAGATGAAATGCAAATCATAGATAACCTAAAATCTTGTTATCTGTCAAAGTTCTGTGATTTTTATTGGCCGATTTTCCCTGAAACGTTTGTTGTGATTGGTCGTTGTGAAATACAAATGACATTTGTCAACATTTACCATGTGTTTTTGACAATTCATTAATTTCCAAAACTTCTGTCGGTATGTTGGCTCGTGCACATCCAAAATGATAGTTTTTGTGTTAAATATACTAAATATTACTTATTTATTTAAATATGGTTTGAATAATTTTTGATATTTTTACGATAACCCAAAGGAATTAGGTTTTATAGTCCTTAAAATCATTATAACCTAACATGGCTCTTTCTATACCAATTTTCGGTAAGTTTTGTTTGTTCCACATTATTTTGTATTTAATTAGTTATATATTATTGTGATTTATAGCTAGGGGATCTAGTGGAATCAGTGCTGTTTTGGGTCCTCCGAATTTCGAGCCATTGAAAGATGTACCACCAATTCAAAGTAAAGCATGTCGGACTCTGATATTTAGTCCAGATGGAACATATTTTGCTTATGTTATGGGATCTACGTAAGATATTCGTGTACATTTCTTGTATACACTTCAAAATTAATGTGGCATTGTATTTTAGGATTACTGTACTTAAAACTGGAAACTGGCAAACAGTTGCCACAATTCAAGATACAAAAACGTATCATTTGGCTTTTTCACCAAAAAGTACATTCTTAATGACTTGGGAACCGTTTACTGTGAGCAATGCAAATCCTCAGGGCAATCCAAATCTGAAAATTTATAGAACAGAAAATGGGGAACTAATAAAAAGTTTTGTTCAGAAGAAACAAACCAACTGGTATGGAAAGGATCTATTGAATACCTATATGATTATTTTTTTAAATTACGTTTTTGCTTGGTTAGGGAACCACAGTGGAGTAATGATGAAAAGTTATTTACTAGGCCAGTTAATACTGATGTTGTATTTTATGAAGACCTTAATTTTGAAAAAATTGTTTCAAGACTATCGGGCCATAAAATTGTATCTTACAGTTTGTCCCCTAATACTGGCTCTTATTTTGTCTTATGTCATACTCTGGGAAGCCCAGGCCAACCCTCTTTTGGAAGGTCAAAATAATTTATAATGTTCAAGAATTTTAAATAATTTTTTAACTATTTTAGGCTGTTCAAATATCCAAACTTTGATAATCAGCAGTCGATTGCGAATAAAAGTTTTTTCCAAGCCGATAATATGGATTATTTATGGAACTCGAAGGGAAATAATGCATTGCTGTTGACGTCAACTGAGGTGGATAAAACTGGGGGATCTTATTATGGCAAGCAAGGGCTTCATTTTCTTGGTTTAAATGGATATACTTCTCTTGTCACAATGAGTAAGTCTGATTTTATTTTTTAATTTGTGTAGAACAAACTAATAAAGCCCTGTATAGTCTGGTAAGTAGGAATGAACTGAATATGTTTATAAAGAAGCTAAAAGAATATCTGATATATATATTACAAATAGGGTGTCCGTTATTTCCCAAGTTGATTATTTTTTTGCTGCCGTCCTCTGAAATTTTAATTTTTTCCTAAAAAAATTATCCAATGTAAACAAGCTCTTCATTTTATTCATGTTATTCGCGGTCAAAGTTATGCACATAGTTTATAATCAAATTTTTCTATAATTCACTGCAAATTCTAATTGCGCCTTTTGATTTTGACTAAAAAAGGATCTAGAGCCATTCTTTTTTCAATAAAACAATGTTTCTTTACCAACTATATGGAAAATTAATATTGCGCCGTCTATGATAAATTGATCAAAACTATAATTTAAGGTTATTGTTTCATTGCCTTTCAGTGTTCCTAAATATGTGTGTCAATTGAAAACACAAAACATCCCCCTTTAGAACTCCGTCTGTCATGTTAAGAAATGAAAGTAAATAATAAAGCGCCTCTCGTGTTTGTTCGCACTCAAAACATTTCAATTAAAAATTAAAAATGAAGAGCTTGTTTACATTGGATAATTTTTTTCTCTAAAAAAATTATCCAATGTAAACAAGCTCTTCATTTTTAATTTAAACCGTGCCGGAATCATGATACTTTCCCCATTTAAATAACATGGGATTTTCTGACCTTTTGCGTATATTTTTTTTTAAAGCAAATGAACCTACAGTTTCGACAAAGACATATTCTGATACAAAATTTTACGCTCTACAAAAAAGGCCTCTTTGGTTTTTTCCATAAAAACATTCCTTTAAAAGTTATTCGCGGTCAAAGTTATGCACATAGTTTATAATCAAGTTTTTCTATCGTTTCCTGCAAATTCTTTAAATTTAATTTGATACAAGTAATATTTAAGATAAAAACCACTCGAAATTTGTTCATACTTTTCAATCACAAAACATCCCCCTTTAGAACCTTTTCTTTAATGGCCATAAGCGGGAGTAAAAGACCAACCGCCCGAACACCAGAGGCGCCACCGGTCATCAAATCTAATTTTGACACAAGGGGTCGCGCTTATCTTTTTCAATTTTAATTCAATATTTATTGTTTTCATACTATATTATTAGACTTTGTTGTATTTTGTGAATGTATAAATGTTTTCTTAGTATAAAGTTGCATTATAGTAATTTAAATTATATTACATACATATTTAAGATTCAAATATTATGACATATATGTCAGTTGCCGTCTAAAATGTCATCTTGATAACAAAAAGTTAGTTATTGTCAAAAGTAGTTAAAATCATGTTAAAATATCAAAATTTACAAGTTATAATTAGATATTTTATATTATTTCAACAACAAACACATAATAGTACAGCGTAATGTTGATATGCAGGTCCAAAACAAAAAGTGCCGTTATATTTTTAGTTTTCGTCGTCAGCCGCGGAAGTTTCAGTGATTTTAGTGTTGTCGGATATTTTTATTTGTGAAATAGAAATATTGCGTTTGGATTGCAAAACTAAAAGTGGAAGTTTTATTGCAATGTAAGTAAGCGTTTGTCCATTTTATATTTTACTTTTTTCATACCTACGACAAATATAGATATATTAAAATTTTATAATTCGTTTTATTTAAAAAATGTTAGAAAACAAGCTTGTAATCCTGTAATTGACATAATTGTTATGTAATATATTCCATTTAAATGTAATATATTACTTTACAATTTAAAAAATGTAAATTTAAAAAATATATTAAAAATATATACAGGCATTAATTGAAATTTTTTGAGTGCGAACAAACACGAGAGGCGCTTTATTATTTACTTTCATTTCTTAACATGACAGACGGAGTTCTAAAGGGGGATGTTTTGTGTTTTCAATTGACACACATATTTAGGAACACTGAAAGGCAATGAAACAGTAACCTTAAATTATAGTTTTGATCAATTTATCATAGATGGCGCAATATTAATTTTCCATATAGTTGGTAAAGAAACATTGTTTTATTGAAAAAAGAATGGCTCTAGATCCTTTTTTAGTCAAAATCAAAAGGCGCAATTAGAATTTGCAGTGAATTATAGAAAAATTTGATTATAAACTATGTGCATAACTTTGACCGCGAATAACTTTTAAAGGAGTATTTTTATGGAAAAAATTTTGTATTAGAATATGTCTTTGTCGTCTGTAGGTTCATTTGCTTTGGAGATAAAAAATTAAATGCAAAAGGTCAGAAAATCCCATGTTATTTAAATGGAAAAAATATCACGATTCCGGCACGGTTTAGATTAAAAATTAAGAGCTTGTTTACGTTGTATCATTTTTTTAGAGCAAAAACTAAAATTTCAGAGGGCGCAATGTGGTCAATTTTGTCAAATTAGCCGGAAAAAAATATTAGTGAAAATTACTTAACTTTGATTACTAGCTATATCCGATTTTATATGTTAGGTATCATAAAATTACATTAAAAATATAATTAATAAGAACAAGTCGTATACAGGGTGTATAATAATTAAAAACTTGGAAAAGTTTCGTTATTTTTTATTTTAAATAGATTTTGGTCGCGATCATTTGCATATGTTAGATATTTACAAATTATCATATTATAAGAATAATGCTATGGATCTTACAAATTTTGCTAACAGTTACTTTTAAAAAGTCAACAACCTCCAAGCATTTAATATGGGCAATACGTCCTAAAAATTGCCTGGACTTAATAGACGGACTGGGACGGTAAATTTGTAGGTTTGGTAAAGTTGTCTAATGGTTTAACTATCAACTTAACTTTATTTAAAACTGAAACCTCATAAGACTTTTTTCTGCTAGTTCATTAAAAAAATGTATATTCTAATAATTTAAAAAAAAATCTAACCATATCAAAATTATTTACTCATATTTAGTACTCAACAGAAGAACATTAATGTCAAAAAACTTACCAACAACAATTGCTCTTTCCATTTTAGATAGTATTAATGACATATAACTTTTTGCACGGAATACGCAAATTAAAAACTATATTCATGTGCAAATAACAAGATTATTTAGTTTAATTTGTCAACTATACTACACTTTCAATCAAAATAACAGCATAGATAAACGAAACAAGTTTAGATTGGAAAGTGCCCATAAGGACAATGTAAACCCTATTTGGCGCTATTCTTGCAACTGTCGCGACCCAAAGCTTTTGAAAATTTTGGAGCGGTTCGGCTTTTTCCGGAATTATATCGCCAAATATTGTTTATTCAAATTTATTATTATATTCGTTTAATTTTATAAATAAAAAACAGTGTGTTGCATACAAGAAACTTTATTTTATATAAGGACGCATGTATGAAATACCTATGAAACATTGGAAACCGACGTTATGCCACGATCCACGATGGTTTTTGCAGTTCACAGTTCACAGCACAGCTTTTTAAGTTTTTAATGCCACTTTGTCACAATTATCACCGGTTGGAGTAAATAAAACTTGAATTAAACTCACAAGATAGCAATTATTACTTTGAAAATGGACTCTATAAACACTTTTCGGAATTTCTTTAATGAGAGCGGTTTAGATTTTGAAAGATTATTATGATTTTTGAAGATTCTGATTTTGACAAGAGAAAATTATTTCTGTTTTTGTTTGGCCGTTGTTCTTAGCGACCGCTATAGCAGCGCCAGATCGCGTATAACGGTCGCGACCCAAAATAATTTCGCGACCTTAAATTTTTACGGGCTTTCCAATCTAAACTTGTTGCATTTATCTATGCTTTCCAATCTAAACATGTTTCATTTATCTATGAATAACAGTAAGTTCGCAACGACCTTTGACATATTTGTTAATGAAATGTTTTTAGCAACTATTTCAAAGCCTACTTATGGAGTTTTTGACGCCGCTTAGCCTCATCAGATTTTTTAATTTTCCTGTTAATTTTTAAAAATTGACCACAGTGGGGCGGCAGCAAAAATAAAAAGTCGAAAAAAAAAATTATAGTGATATATTTTTTTTCTAGATAAAGAAGGACCTATTTACAGTGTACAGTGGTCGCCGAAAAATCAAGAATTCTGCGTAGTGTATGGATTTATGCCGGCTAAGGCTACAATTTTCAATTTGAAATGCGAGCCGGTGTTTGAGTTGGGTACTGGGTCCAGGAATTCTGTTTATTACAATCCTCAGGGTAACATACTGTTGTTGGGTGGATTTGGCAATCTTAGAGGTCAGATTGAGACATGGGATGCTGTCAACAAGAAGAAAATAGGTAATATTTTAACTGTATTTCTTTAACTTTTTTACACTCTTAGTGTTTATGAATTTTGTACCTTTATCAATAATAATATGTAAGGAAATAAAGTCATTATGTTCAGAACTCAATACAATGCTACAAAAGAAACTGATGCTAAAAAAAGCATACAAAATTTGATACCCTCTAAAAGACAAAGAATTTTTGTATAGAGGTGAATTGTGTCCAATTAACGTATTTTAATGCCAAAAAATCGTAGTAGTTCTATGGCCACGGAATATTGGGACATCTTCTATACAGGATTGTTCATCAGATACAACGCAGAGTATTGTAGCTAAACGATTAGATTTTTACAAATTGTAAGTTGTGGGTTCGTTGGAGGACTATTAGAGCTACAATTTAAAAATATTTTTACAAGATAGAGTGTCCCAAATAAGTAAAAAATATTATAGTTGTATTTTTTTAAATGGAATATCCTATATATTATTCTATTTTTAGATTCTGCGATTGAAATATAGGTAAATTTGATCAAGGTGTATCACACTTAAACTTTACCCTTTTTTAAATATTTTCAGTTTTATGAAATTGCAGTAAAAATGTAAGGCTTCATTTTTCCAAGGGCATCAAAGTTTTTAATACTAAATATTTACTGAAGTTTATTTATGTGACAGATATTGTGTTGCAATAATAAACAAAAACTACCTTATACAGAGTGTCTAAAAATTTATATTAAATAATTACTAGCTGTGAACTGCGATAACTTGTTTAATTTAAATGGAACATCCTGTATATTTTACGAGAATCAGATGCAAAATATAATTGTCTATCATATTGTATTATACCATTTTTTACCTATCTCTTCAGGTTTGCGCAGAAAATGAATTTTCTTATAATTTAGACCTCATTTATCACTATACCCATGGAATATTGACATTTTAGATTCTTTTTAAAGATGTAAGAAATTTTCAAAGAGTACCATATACTGATATTATCGATATAGTTCGCTTATTTCATTAAAAAATGAAATAAAAAAACGTTTAAATATTTTTTGTGAAAGAGGACCAATTAATATGATCCTAGTAGTCAAACTACATTATTTGACTGTTTACGTTGATTAATAATTGCTTCAAATACTAAAAAACTGAATTTTGTATGTGTATTACAGTGTGGTAAAAAGTAACACCTTAATAATTATATTTCTTTTTTTGACAAATGTTTATTTATTACAACAGAGACGTTCATTTTCATAACTTATTATTATATTAATTTCTGATTCAAATCCATATTTATTAAGAATCATTTATTAACTAACACAATTAAGTATGTAATTAATTAGTATTTAACACCTTATAAATTTTTCCAAAAAATCCTTTATGGGTATTTCGCCACTGCACTGCAAGAAAATCCACAAAATAAAATAATTATTTTTTGTAAACACTTCTGCGTTAAACCTAAACGGACGCTGCTTGTCAGAAGTTATGTTTACAGTAATATAAATTTGCCTAACAAAGAAAAAAAAATGCTTAACGTTTCGGAAAGTTATCTCTTTCCGTCGTCGGAAGCAAAAAAAAACAAAAAATAAAGAAAAAAACTATTTAAAATATTTAAATTCTTCGAGAACACTTTACTTTTTTAAAACAGATACGTCTACAAGAAACCGTTGACGTTCTGTTAAAATGACATTTTTTTAACTTGATATTTAAACTTCAAAATTAACAATTACTACCTGATAACAATTACTTAATAAGGTAAAACCAAAAAGCCCCAAACTTTCTGTATGATTATTTTTAAATTTTACGTATGTTATGTTTATTTATCTTGTTGTATCTATTGTTCTTTAAAATCAAAGAAGCGATTGCCATACATTACTAACATCTACAGATGCATGAGCAATACATTTATTTTTTTATTAGATTGAATTAAAAAAACCTCTTTTATTTTTCTTTTAGAGGCTATCGCTTCATTCATTAAAATTTTGGCGTTATTAAAATTTATTCTGTGCCCTGTGTCCCAAGAATGCTGACAAATCTTAGATTTGTGAAAATCTCCCTTTCTTAAATAATCTTTATGTTCTTTAATTCTAACATTTAAGGGTCTAGATGTTTCACCAATGTAAAATTTATCGCATTCACAGGGTATTTGGTATATTACATTTTCTGTTTGTTGTTCTGTATTCATTGGTTTAGTATGTGATAAAATGAAAAAAAAAAATAAAGAAAAAATAAAAAAATGCAATAAAATCTTATAAATTTTATTTCATTTTTTGACGAATGTTTATAACAACAGAGACGTTCATTTTCATAACTTATTATTATATTGATTTCTGAGTCAAATCCACATTTATTTAGAATAATTTATTAATTAAAAAATAAATTAAGTATGTAATTCACTAATGTTTGGGCGGAAATAATGGTGGTATATTTAATTGTTACACTCTTTTACAAAGATTTAAATAGTTTTTTTTAAACATCATTTTTTATTTGTCCATTTTGTACATATTTTGCTTTAAAAAATCTAAAATGTCAATATTCCATGGGTATATATGAGGTCTAAATTATAAGAAAAAGCATTTTCTACGAAAAATTGAAGATATAGGTAAAAAAGGGTAAAAGACAATTAAATTGTGCATCTGATTCTTGTAAAACATACAGGATGTTCTATTTTAATTAAACAAGTTATTGCCGTTTAAAGCTAGTAATTATTTAATATAAATTTTTGGACAGTCGGTATGAGATAGTATAATTTTTATTATTGCAACACAATATCTGATCAATAAGTAACTTTCAGTAAATATTTTGTATTAAAAACTTTGATACTCTTGGAGAAATGAAGCCTTAATTTTTTTTTACTCCAATTTTACAAAATTGAAAATATTTCAAAAACGGTAAGGTTTAAGTATAATAAACCTTAATCAAATTTACATTTATTTCAATAGTAGAATCTAAAAATAGAATAATATACAGGGTCTTCCATTTAAAAAATTACAATTTTAATATTTTTTACTTATTTGGGACACACACTGTATTTCGAAAATTAATTTTAAATTGTAGCTCTAATACAAGAACGGTAAACTAATAGGATTGCTCATCCTCATAAGATGTACGTTCGCCTCTTCCCGCGCTTCAGCTGACAGTTGTGACGTCATTGTAGTCCTTGTCATGATAGTGTGTATTATTAGTTGCCAATGGTAAACATATAAAAATGACAGCTGAGAAATTTTGAGTTAATTATTTTGTCAATGTTAAATGTGAAAAAGGTGTTTTTAAAGTTTTTAGAGCTATAGAGTGTATAAATACGTTTATTTTATGTTGTGGATTGTGACAGAGTGCTTACTAAGTGCTTACGATATTGTTTATTATTATTTTAAAGCAAAATATGGAAGTACTTTAAAAAGAATGCCTGCAAAAGGTGATGCTGGGAACTGCTGTTCTTAAAAATGCATTATCCGAGTATTTAATACGATTTATACAGTTAATTTTCTATACTGCATACATATAAGGTGTTTAAATAAATAAACTAAATAATGAACGTTTTGCATCCGGCAACCAATAATGCACGTGTGTGTAGTATTGGTTGCCGGATAAGGACTAATAACTTTTAAATAAAATATACGACGGCCTCCCCATAAGAGCAATGAGAGGATTTACGTCCCAGTATTGAAGGACAGAAAATCGAGTCTGAATGGTTTCAGGACATAAGTTCGTCCTTGTTTAGTCAAACCTCCTAGAACACAAGGATAGACTTATGTAGGAAATGCATTGAAATTCTATAATCATCCTTCATATGGGGACAGGAATTTAAGCGGTACCATCCATGTATTTTATTTAAAGGTATTTGAATAACCATGACAAGGACTACAATGACGTCACAAAGCGAGGAGTTTCGCATGCACCTGGCAGACACTTTTGGCTGAATGAGCAGTCCTATTAGGTTAACTGTTCTTGGCTCTAATAGTCCTTCAACCCAAAACTTACAATTTGTAAAAATCTAATCGTTTAGCTACAATACTTCGTGTCGTATGTGGTGAACACTCCTTACTAATTTCTCCGAAACTGAGACAATATTTTTCTTATACACAGGCAGTTGTGAAGCCCCAGATTCAACCAACCTCGAATGGGCTGCCGACGGGGAACATTTCCTAACCTCCACTACAGCCCCACGTTTGAGGACAGCAAACGGTTTTAAGGTGTGGCACTACTCCGGATCTCTGTTACACGAAGTGAGCTGGCCTCAAGGCGAGGAGCTCTACGAAGTCGTGTGGAAACCCTTTCCTAAACTGGCATTTAAAGACCCACAGATAACAAATAAAAAGGTCGAGGGCATAGTTCCCAGCCAGCCACAAGCTTCTAAACAGGCTTACAGGCCTCCATCAGCCAGGAATAAGCCGGTGGTGAATTTTAAGCTTCACGATGAGGACGAAGAAGCCCATAAAGTCGGTAAGTTGCTGTAGGAGATTTTGAATGATCGGTATGTATAGCCAAAGTCAGTTGCACTGGTTTGAGGTTCTTTTGTTATTTCGGCACTGCCTTTGTCTCTAAGTCTAACTCTAAGAAATACTTTTACTGCATGCTGAAATTCTGTGTTGCACAAAATATAACTTAACGTTTTTAGGTTAATTGAGCTAATATTTGTTGATTTTTTTGTATATTCAGGTTCAAATAATAACCCATCTAAGGCGGCGCTGAAGAACAAAAAGAAGAGAGAAGCGAAGAAAGCAAAGCAAGGTGAAGATGGGGAAGAGCAGCAATCAGCACCGTTGGTCAGTAGCGTGAAGGTAGAACTGACAGGGGATCCAGAAATTGACAAAAAGCTGAAAAATATCAAAAAGGTAAGAATTTTTCTACTAAACGTCTATCGGCAGGCCGTCTGGCTGCCGATAAACGTTGCGTTCACTACTGCGCATTGAAAATATTCCTATTTTGGGGGAACACCTAATGGGAACACCGATTTCCATTAGAACACCGAAGTTAAGCGACGTAAGGCGATACTGGGGGATGGACGGGTGACCGGTTCGAAACTCTGTATCGTGCTGTTGTTCAAGGGAAAAGTGTAAAATCTATTGATACACACTACTCATTCACGCCCGTTCGAGGCGGGATGAGATCGGATATCTTGTAAGAGTTAATTTAGACACTTCCTAAGTCGGTAGGCCACTGACCATGATATGGCCGAGGACCGCGGTTCGGATGCCGCGTAAACAAAGTAGGCCCCGTCCAGATTAGCCCTGGCAGCAAAAAGGAGACGTTAACTGAAATCTGTACTTTTTTTCCTCGAAAACGTTGCTTGCTCTTAGACTATTACGGAAAATTTCTATTTTGATATTTATTTTTTACACTTAATACTTTTTTTATAATTTATTTTTTTGAAAAATAAGTCTTAAAGTTAAGTATGTATTAAGTTCTCTAAAGTCTGCCAAACGAGTACTGGCAGATTTTGATAGATGAAATAAAAAAAAATGATGTAAATGTAATTTACCTCTGGATTAAAATGATAGACACAATTGTCTATTATGTATTTTCTCATTGGACAGACTTTGACCCAGTATGTCCCTCCTAAATAATTAATTTGCATTTTAACATGTATGATAATAAAAGCAATAAAACACAAAATCACCACAATAGACCAAAACACTTTTACTTTTACACTGGACGCGCGTTTCGCTAACCATGTTAGCATCATCAGCAGATGATTAAGACTGTTTTAAGTCTTAAACGTAACGCGTGGTGATTTAGTGTTTTATTTTGCTGTGTAACACTAAAGGGGTTCCAACCCCTAACTGTAATAGTAATGTATGATAATGATGAAAGAATCCTATAAAATTAAATAGGCAAGTAATAATAGGAAAAAATAAAAAGGTTAAAAAGACACAAAAAATTACTTTCAGTTCACGTAAGGGGGGTAACGAAATTCTCTGGTAGCGAGCAATTCTTGGACGTGCTATAAATATTTTAAATAACAAGAAAAAGAAGAAAAACAATAAAAAATAAATCACGCAACTATTTTACCCATAAGGACTGCACTGTTCTCCAAGCTCGATCTACTACCGCATGTATAGAGGTAGCGATCTATAAAATATATTGCTGTTTATTTACATATGTTTTCTAGAAAATTGATCGTACTCCAATATTGTGTCTGCATTCTTAAAATTCTTTTCGTAGATACAGCTCCAGTAAACATACATTACTTATAATTAGCCGCCGTGTCCTTTGTCGCATGACATGACCAAATGATTTTTGTTGTTCCAAATAAATGTTTAATAACTATATAATAAAAAATCCATTGTTTTGTTAAAGTCCATTGTCCAAGTTAAAAATATTCGTGTTTTTTTTTTCTTCAGAAACTGGATGCGATAGAAAAGTTGAAGAAAGACCAAGCTTCCGGGAAAACTCTGGAAATCAATCAGCTGGCGAAAATCAAAGGAGAGGCTGATTTGTTGAAAGAACTGGAGAATTTAAAAGTCTAAAAAAATATATATAAATGAAAAGGAGAAATATTTTATATATTTTTTAATGACATTGTCTTGTTGCGCTTTGATGGAAATAAATGATATGATTGAGTTTATAGGATTTGTTTTATTTGATTGATTCGATTATTTTAGACCATTTAATCTCAAACTTTTACGCTACTTTGAATTTTCGAAATGTCACGATGTAGCTCGAATTTTGGACATCCTGTACAGGGTGTCCCATTTTTATGTGTTTTAATGGGTTTTTTTGTTTATGAGTAGAGATAAAAAGATGCGGATTTCACATAATTTTGCTACTTTTTTTGTGAATTATATATTGATATTTGTTGTAGCCCTGTTAGTTCTTGAAATAATACAGGAATAATTGGAAATTGTTGCAATCATTTGTGAGAGGTGACCCAAACTTACGTTTTTTAAATGGCATACCCAGTATATTATTTTTTTTATTTACCTTGTTATGAGCTTTATAAAAATATAATATTCTTGCACTAAAAATATCAATAAGTGCAAGTATAATAAGTGCACTAAAAATATCAATAACTCTGATTAACAGGTGCATTGAAAAGCTGCACAAGTTTGTTTTCAGTACAGTATAACACGATGGAGAGAGAAAGCAGAATTACCTGGTTAAATAAAATATATTCTTTTAAATTAGGTTGATTTATTTTAAAAAGTTGAATAATGGATTTTTTACCTTATTAATGAAAATAAGTATAGATTATATTATATTTTTAGACAGCTCATAATAAGGCAAATAAAATAAAAAAATAATATACAGACTGTCCTATTTAAAAACAATAACAACTCCCAGCGGAAAACTATCTACGCCACACTGTGGTCAATTTTGTCAAATTAGCCGGAAAAAAATATTACTGAAAATTACTTAACTTTGATTAATAACTATATCCGATTTTATATGTTAGGTATCATAAAATTACATTAATAATATAATTAATAAGAACAGGTCGTATACAGGGTGTATAATAATTAAAAACTTGGAATAGTTTCGTTATCTTTTATTTTAAATAGATTTTGGTCGCGATCATTTGCATATATGTTAGATATTTAAAAATTATCATTTTATAAGAATACTACTATGGATCTTACAGATTTTGCTAACAGTTGCTTTTAAAAAGTCAACAACCTCCAAGCGTTTAATATGGGCAATATGTCCTAAAAAATGGCCTGGACTTAACAGACGGACTAGGACGGTAAAGTTGTAGGTTTGGTAAAGTTGTCTAATGGTTTAACTATCAACTTAACTTTATTTAAAACTGAAACCTCATAAGACTTTTTTCTGCTAGTTCGTTAAAAAATGTATATTCTAATAATTTAAAAAAAAATCTAACCATATCAAAATTATTTACTCATATTTAATACTCAACAGAAGAACATTAATGTCAAAAAACATACCAACAACAATTGCTCTTTCCATTTTAGATAGTATTAATAACATATAACTTTTTGCACGGAATACGCAAATTAAAAACTTTATTCATGTGCAAATAACAAGATTATTTAGTTTAATTTGTCAACTATACTACATTTTCAATCAAAATAACAGTAAATTCGCAACGACCTTTGACATATTTGTTAACGAAATGTTCTTAGCAACTATTTCAAAGCCTACTTATGGAGTTTTTGACGCCGCTTAGCTTCATCAGATTTATTAATATTTTCCTGTTAATTTTTAAAAATTGACCACAGTGCGCCACTGGATTCTACGTAAAGTAATTCAAATTTCTAATTCGCCCTGTATTTCAGGAACTAATAGGGCTAGGACAAATCTGTGTGGCTTCTCTGGTTTCATAAAAAGTAGCAATATGATGTGAAAACCGTATATTTGTACCTCTACTTTTCTACTAATAAAATAGAAATCCTGTAAAATATACGAAAATGGGACACCCTGTACATTTAATTTTTCTGACATTTATTGGATATAAAAGAAAATGATAACCAGTTAAAGAAATTTTCGAATTTTGCATACACCCACTCGTCATTTCTAGCCATTAGCCATTCATCCTATGGATGAACGCCGACATTTTTAAATCGTTTATATCATAGAAAAATGTCTCTACGAATCCTACGTGTGTCGGCCATGGCCGGCCGCGCCGCCACAGGCATTTAAATTGCATTAATACAAATTTCCGTCCGCGATAAATAATCACGTTACAAAACGGTTTCGACTATCGCAATCGTCTGTATACTCGCACTTTTTCAAAGAGGTACATACGTCCTAAATAGTTACATATTTAGATCTATAGTGCCTACCACGTAAGGAGGTACCTATATGCTTAGGGTCGATCTACATCCCCACTATTGAATTGAATCGTGTGATTCGATTCACTAAAAAGAATCGTAATGCGCATCACTACAGTGTGTACGCTAGTTTTTAATCCGTCCTACTAGACAGGTAAAACGTTATTTGTAGATGGGGCTAAGACTATCGCATGTCGTGAGAACTGTGGTCAGGTTTTTTGATGGTCTTCCGTTTTACATGACATGCAAAACTGACCGGTAAAACTTTATGTATAGATGAGGCTTTATTGTGTGAATATTCTATTTTATTATCCTGAAGCTCATCTAGCAGCATCTAAACGAAAAATTGAATTACAAATTATTGTTAAAATACTAAACAGTTTTTAATGGGATTTTTGTACGAATTGTTTACCCTCTTGAACAATTCACACTCTTATGTATATCCTTTTCAAAAAACCCTCACTTCACATGTTTAATATAAAATTAATAATTTGTCACAATAACAATAAGAATACTTAACAGATAAAATATTTAACGTTATACAGGGTGTCCCTGTTATCTAGAGCAAATTTTGAATTTTAGGTAGCTTTAAGTTTAAAATCAAAGAAAAAAATGAAAAATCTCGAAATATCATGACTTTTTGACATCATTTTTAAAGTTGAAATTTGAGTTATAACCAAAGTCGGAAACATTGGATCTTTTCTGGGTTTTCTTTCTTGTAAATTTAATCTAGTACCTATGTTGCCATATAAAAAGGAAATACCACTCCTGCAACTCCCAGTGGACGATATGCCAAGAACGTACAACTTTGAGAAACATCTCAATGTAGTATTGAGCAATAAAAAGGATTGGAAGAGCGAAACGCTTGCCCAGCAGTTAAAAGACCATACCATAACTTGGTATACTGATGCTTCCAAAACCAATACGGGAACAGGGATCATAGTATTTGGGTCGAGAGCTAAATACTCCGAACCAATGGGCACTTACCCTAGTATCCTACAGGCAGAAATCTACGCTATCGAAAGATGCGTACAACTTATCTTAGATAGGAACTATCGGAAACAAGAAATAGCTATCTTGTCTGATAGTCAAGCAGCGTTAAAAGCGATCAACTCAGTATCAATCAATTCGAAATTGGTCAAAGAATGCATAGAGAAGCTGAATAAATTAGGCAAAGAAAACTAAAGTCCTCCTACTCTGAGTGCCTGCTCACCAAGGGATAGAAGGCAATGAAAAAGCAAATAATCTAGCTAGAAAAGGAGCGAACACTCCACTAACTGGACCAGAACCGTTCTGCTTTCCAAGTGGTAACCAACTCAAGGCGGAACTCAAGAACTTGGAAGATTCCATCCGCAACCTGGAATGGGAATCTTGCAACGGTCTAAGACACTCGAAGAAGTTTCTAAGGGCTTATGATCAAGAAAAATCACAGATCTTCCTGGGTTTAAGTAAGAACAATATTCGGATTGTCACGGGGTTTTTAACAGGACACTGTCTCCTCAATGAACACCTCAGTAGATTGAAACTAAGAAGAAACAGCGAATGCAGATTCTGTGGGGAAGATGGGGAAACACCAGTACACCTCATCACTGAGTGCGCCGAGACGACAACCATTCGTGCCATGAATTTTGGTACGACTGATATTGGAGATGGAGAACTACCCTCTATAAAACCGTCCCAGATACGGGCTTTTGTCAAAGCCCTGGGACTGTATGATGAGTTATAACTCAAGAAAGGGGGACACAATAGACCTGTAAGGTCGCAGTGATTAACCCCCTCCCACTAATTCTAATTCTAAAAAAAATGTTGCCATATTATTAAGAATTATGTTTTTTAACTAAAAATTAAACAAATTTTCATTTTTTTTTCAAAAATTTTGTCGAAAAAAACCTCTTAATCGTGTTTTTGGAGTCTGAAGGTTGCTACTAAAATAATAATACTACTCCTAAGAATATTTGCACTTATATTGACTCACCCTATAAAATTTCAGACTATTTATAGAATACCAAAAGTCGTTGGCAATATTCGAAAAAATATGTTGCTTCGTCTGCATAGGCCTCTACTAACTATTTCTTGAGTGTCTGTCACGTTACGTGCTTTTAGATAGGAATGGTCCTTTAATCGTCATTTTTGAGATGGCAGTGTGGAAAGAGTTGTTTAAAAAATCAGTTTCATTTTTAAATCTGTTGATACTGCTAATCAGGGTTGGGTAACGACGCGTAGAAAATTAATTTTTTACGTGTATGTAGAAAAGTGCGTAGAAAATGTAGAATATTAAGTAGAAAATCTATAAAATCTGAGGACAGGTACAAAATTAATTTTGTATATTTAAAATAAAGTTACAGCGATTTTTACCATCATGTTTTTGATGAAAATTGAGCTCCAGACACCGATATTAGTTTTCGTCTATCTCCTATAGAAAAGGGTGTTTCCATTTAAAAGTGTCGAATTGACCCACCCTGTACAGAGTTACAGCGACTTATTAGGCAAACTGGTGTAATAAGTCCAAAAGCTTGCTTAGTAGCCTTCTGTAATTCTTCTCTCGTCCCAATGGTTTTTATATATTAGGTCTTTTAATTTTCTTCATAAAAAAGTCGAAAGAAGTTAAATCATAGGATCTAGCAGGCTAAGATACGAGGCTTTTTCCAATCCAAGTCTCTCTAAAATCTCCGTTTAATAGTTTAGTTGTAACCATGGCGTTCTAATTTTAATTGGTAATACCAGTATAGAATGTTGATTTACCTTTTCAAAAGTCTTTAATTATGCAGATAAATAATACTATAGAATATTAAATTGTGATAAAAAATAATTAGGCAACTAGGTCAACACAAAATCAAGGCCCTCTTCGATATCTTTATATCGTTGGAAAGAGTTCAACTCTGGCATTTTTTTAAGTTCATAGCCAACTATGATTTCCATTTAAAATATTATATTTTTTATTATTTCGGACAAAAAAAAACAACTCTAGAGAAAAACTGACTACTCCACTGGATTGTGCTTAAAAAAGTGCCTTGAGAACGTTTTTACAGAATTTTATTATACCGCGAAATAAAAAAGTTATGGGTAATTTTCAAAATGGTAAAAAATTCAAAAAGACCCCGTATCTCAGTTGGCAGTGAAAATATCAACAGGAGGTTTACGCCATTAAACATGTCTCAGAAATCGAGCTCATGACACCTATGTCGGTTTTGCTCTATCTAGTCAGGAAATAGGTTGTCTCTGTTAAAACAGACCAATTTCGACCACCCTGTACATATCAATTTAAAATAATATGGAAGTTAATAGTTGAGTTTTTTTGACATACTGTATACTGTCCATTTGTTAAATAATAAATAACAATTAGAGATATCGTTATTACAGTTCAGTTTTCTAATCATCTGCTGATGATGCTAACATGGTTAGCGGAACGCGCGTCCAGTGTAAAAGTAAAAGTGTTTTGGTGTATTGTGGTGATTTAGTGTTTTATTTTGATATCGTTATTAGTTTATTTCTTATACTAATCGTTGTCATTGAAGTATTTGAAATAAATATAAACTCAAAAAAAGGCTTACAATATACAAAACTAATTTTCTACGTCTGGACATGTAAAAAATGTAGAAAATTAATTGGTGTAGAAAATTAATTTTCTACGTGTAGAAAATACGGCAGAAAATATGACATTTTCTACATAACCAACCCTGCTGCTAGTACATTCAAGTAGCTTAAAAAAATTGCGCTTTACAGTCTGTATAGTGATGACGCAGGTATCTAATTGAAAGTAGCGAAGAATATATGCGAGTATAATTTTCTTTCGGCCGTACATTGTTGTGTGTGGGCCGTTCCTAAACCATCGAAACATAATAGCGGATGGACCTGCGGTAGTCGGTGGTTGTTGTCGTGCAGTTGCGAGGTGGTTGCTTGCCCATCAGTGCCGCCGAGACGACGTTTCGCACCTGAAGGTGGTGGCGGCCTCAGTGCTACAACCATGGAACCGCCCCCGCAGATACAGATCACCCCAGCCGCCCTAGAAACAGGTAACAGCCTTTAGACACCCAAAAATTGCTACATATGAGAAAAATATCATACGATCGAAAAAAAAACGATGACAGAATTGGCTTAGAAATTTCCAAGCCAACTTGACGCCGTTTTTTTTGGTCATACGGTATACTATTAAATAAAACATACATTTCATGAAATTCACAATTTTTTTAAATGTATACAGGGTGAGTCTTAAATAAGTACAAATATTTTTATGAGTAGTGTATTTCGACCCCAGAAACACGATTATGAGGTTTTTTTCGCGAAAATTAGGAATTTTTTTAAAAAAAATTAGTAAATTTTTTTAGTTTTTTGTTAAAAAACATAATTTCATGATAATATGACAGTATAGGTAGTGGTTACAAGAAAGAAAACCCAGAAAAGATTTAGTGGTTCTCAAAATTTAAGCAAAAAATATATTTTTTTTAATTTTCAAAGTAAAATATCTTCTTTTATCGAGATCTACTAGCAGTGAAAATATTTGCTCTTATTTAAGACTCACCCTGTATAGTCCCCGGATTGTCTTTACAAGAGGAAACACTTTTTAAATATTGTCATTTTGAGAAAAATGGATTCTCTCTTGAGGAAAATGTTTGCTTGTTTTAAAATGCTTAATCCCGTTTATACATTTCCAGATTTCCATACCGTTTTAGAGAAAATTAAGAAAAACATGAAATTATGGTTGATTTTTTTTAGGTCCTAAAAATCAAAAGACATTTGTATGGTAATATAATTTCGATTTTATTCTTTAATTGGTGGTTATTATTAATTTTGATTTACTTTACATTTTTCGCTGTTGTTAAAGTATTACATTTTCCGATAACTATAATTACGCTTGTCTTAGTATTGAACTAAATAAATTTTGTGCTTCTTTAATATTTTAAAACAGCAAAAATATGACGTTAATTAAAATTTTATCAATAACAATCTAACTATATTTTTTTATTTTCTCTAAAATGGTATGGAAATTTGTAACAATATAAACTTGATTAATCATTTTGAAAAAAGGAAAAACATTTTTATGAAGAATGCATTTTCCTCAAAATCTTAATAATAAAAAAGTGTGTCCTCTTGTAAAGACAATTAGGGGACATACTGTATATTACGTTTAGTCTTTATCTGGCTAGTTTCTAGACTAACTAGATCCAATCCGTATATTTCGATGTGAAACTATTTATATTGCAAAAAATATTTTTGACTTAAAAAAAAAGTGAAATTATATGGTGAATGTAATCGATGTTCATTTCCTAGCCAACTTGACGCCGCTTTTTGCCGATCATACGGTATAACTTTTATATCTCATGTTCACTAAAATATACAGAAAGTTCTATTTAAAATAAACAAGTTATTGTGTTTAAAGCCAGTAATTATTACTTATAAATTTTTAGCCACAAGAATATTAGATATGTCTAATTGTTCAAAATTCATAAAAGTGGGTGAAATGAACTGGGTTTAATATGAAAAAATGATTCATATTTGGAGTTCATAGCCACCTACTTTAAAAAATATTTAATTACTATCGATATACTCGAATGAAAACACATATTCAAATTTCACACTAACGTGCTATACAAATTCATTTTAAAGCATCGACTAAATAAAAATAATTTAATTAATAACAGTACACAAACAGTTATTCTTGTATCTATTATAGAAAAATAAAAATATTTTTTGTAATATCTAATACAAAATGTAAAAATATCCAAAGGAAATTTGCTTTAATTTTTTTTGAGAATCAATTTTTGTCAAAACCTTTTCAGAAATGAAGTACCGTATGATCGAAAAAAAACGGCGTCAGAGATGGCTATGAAATGAAAATCGCTGACATTTTATATGTAAAATATGGGAAATATCATCGATCGTCATTTCTCAGCCAACTGGACGCCATTTTTTTCCCATCATACGGTATTTCTAATTAAAATGGTATAAGAATATAATATACCGTAGGATTAAAAAAACGGCGTCAGGGCCGTCAGGTATGGCTTGGAAATTAAGATCGTTGTCAGTTTGTTGCAAAATTATATGGGGAATGTCATCGATCGTGATTTTTACACCAACTGAACGTTTTCTTTCGAACATACGGTATATCGCCGTACAAAACATTAATAATACTCATATACAGGGTGCTACAGATTGGGGGTACGAGCATTGGTATCCCGATAACCGTAATAGCGTTGATTGGTAATAGATACGAACATGGTTAAATTGGGGCAAAGTTGCGCTTTGGGATGTTCACCAAGATACTATCAAAAAAGTTTTAAAAAGTTATTTGGATAAAACGGGTTTTATTGAAAATATATTTTATTTTATCCTCTCGTTACTTTTTAGAAAATCAAAAGCTAATTGCACTTTCTCATGGCCACTTTATTAGGGCTATCTGATAGTATTTTTATATTGTCAAATTAGCTGATAATTTGTGAGACACAGACGAATACTAGGTATCTATTACGGTTATCGAGATACCAATGCTCGTACCCCGAATTTGTAGCACCCTGTATAATAACTGTTTATATATAATAATGCTCATAAAACAAACATTGTGTTCAACTTTATATAGGTTTAAAAATACATTAAAAATTGTGTCGCTATAAAATTTATTTTTAATTAATATTTTTAATAATTCATTATTAGATTAGAATTTTCTATTAGTGTCAGGTTTTTTATGTTTCTCATTTTAAACATTCTTATGCATTTTAGTGCAAATACCATAGAGTTACGACTACTGAATAAGTCATCAAGGTAACAGGCCATATTTAACGTTAAATCAAATACGGTTTTATAGTTTATCGATCATCATACAGAGAGTTACATCACAAAGTTACAGTGTAAATCGTTGAATTTAAAGACATGCATTTAAATTATTAAATTATTTATAGGCGATCAATTAATTTTATTTGAAGCTATATAGGAAAAAAGAAACTTATGTATGATTAATATATCGTCACGAAATTTAAAAATGGAATAGTTGTGCAAACACAGACATAAATTAATAAAACAAGCCAATATACAGGGTGTTTTTGGGTGTGCTTTTTTTGTTATCCTAAATCATTAGCAGCATATCAATCAATTCAAACTTATTTACATTTATTTTACGTATTATTATACACCCTGTATAATAATACTTCGATTATTAGTCTTTTAAGAAATATATAAAAATATTTATCATTTTATCGAGAAAAAGTAGTTCTTTGATTTATTTTACGATGACTTGTAGATATATGGATTTTCTATAAAGAAGCCAATTACGTGAAATTCATTTTCTTCACTTCCAACGACAGGTTTTTGCCTAATAATAGGTTTATTTTATAAACCACACTATCAGCTCTGGAACTATAAGTAGTTTTTCAAAGGAATGCTTATCAGGAAGATTTCTATTTGGGATGTATTTGAGCATAAGCCCTTGTGGCCAAGAAGCAATTTTCCTCACAAAATAAAATTACTAGTAACATATCAATTTGGTCCGCCAACAGATACTGCTTTATTTTTCTTGATAAAATAATGAATACTTACTTATTAAACTACTTTGGATAGATTTAGGTAAATTGCTATAAATCTAAATAATAAAGTCCATAAACTAATGTCGATTTTGAAAATAGTTACTCTCACTAGAAAATTGGCATGGCGACACCAGCCATCTTGTTTGCCGTTTCGTTGCTTTTTATTCAAAATCTGAGTTAGACAGGTATAGGAAACCCTAATATAATTTAAAAGAGCATTTGCATCTGCTTCGATTTATTAAAAAAAATAGAGGGTGTTGCATTTATAATAATAACGAAGTTTTTATGTAAAATAAATATTTAAAATAGATCAGCAATTTTTCGCACTCCTGTATAAATTTAAGAAAGCAATACAAATTTTGAGTAAAGTTTATTTCTCTACCTTTAAACTCAGCACAAGAATTAATTCTGAAAAAATAATATATAGGGTATTGATAATCCTCATTTTGTTAAAGAAACAACAAATAGCGAACAAAATTGTTGTTATTAGTCCTCGAGCTTGTGTGACAAAATTACACTTTATTCAATATAATCATTTTAGAACCAGCATTATCACACCAGAGGGTACTATTATCGCATTCACTAAGCTCCCGCTACTTATTTAGCAATTTTCTGATTTAGTAACAATTTTTTTCATACTAAACTCCAACAAATCTGAATAAATTAAAATAATTGGATTAAATGATTATCACTCTGTGTTGGAATTTATGCAGGCATTTTTCACTTAATTTTTCAAATTTATTTTGATTTGTTTTTGCGCTATATTCAAAACAAAATCATTTCTTTTTTGATATAGTAAAATAATGATATAGGTACTATCTAATTAGGTGCCAATATTCGTTTCCTTTTGGTCACAATTAGCAACAAATTGCACCAATGCAATGTTAATAAATCCGCATAAAAAACAAACTTGACACAACAATGTCATTTAGGAAACAAAAAAATTAATAAAATACCATACTAGCGAAAAAAAAACGGTGTCAAAGAAGGATGGGAATGGGAACTGACGATAATTTTGGCGAGGTCAAGCCCTAGACCCTTATTTTTAATGGCGCTTACTGCCCGTTGGTCTTAAGAAGTTTGTAATTTATTTTTGATGAGTAAAAAATTCGAGAAAACAATTTTTTGGAAATAGATTTGTTGTCTATCCTTTTTTAATCTTTCTGTAATTAATGCTAATTATTGACAAATTTTATGTCCACATTTTTAGTTAATGATTTCTAAATATTGACATTGTCATTTCTCAGCCGTCTTTGACTCAGTTTCTTTTCAATCAAACATTATCTTACAATTGTTTTCAATTTTGTTTGCTGATGATTCTGACAGCAATTTTATGTTTTAAAAGGACAACAGGACTTGATAATAATAGATAAAAAAATATATTGGGGCATTGGCTGTTACTTTTGTAATATTTTAAAATTGTTTATTATTTATATTATATGTTATTATAAAACGTTATATTTGTACTTCCTCAACAGTCTAGACCAATACCTTTGAAATAAATATAAACAATCTTTTTGGAAATTATTTATTGAAAACCAGTTGTTGCATACTCGTGTTACCATTTTAACTAGGTGTTACCATTTTAACTCTGTTACCAGTTTACTAGGAGAAAATTTGAAAACTGTTGTTAGAGTCCGAACAGTTTTTGTTTTTGTCCATACTTTAACTGTAATTATATTAGTTTCAGAAAAAGTATCGAGGAAAGTCAGCATTGCTGATGACGACGATAAAAACACTCACGCCGAAGTGTCAAAGCTACACAGCATTTTAAAAGAACGAACTAGTTCAGAAGATGGTAAATTAAAAGCTACTTTCTATTTAATTGACTTTGGTGATATAAATAATCACTTTTGATTAATCTAGACATTTGTATGTACACATACTATATAATAATACTAGAAAATAGCTTAAAATTCTTCAATATGTATGTTTAAAAAAATTACACACCAATAATATATGTACGATAAAATAAAATTGACTTTACACATAAATTACACATTTAGTTCCAGGATATTGCTTGTTAACTAAAGACTCGTTGTTTATAGAGCTCCTCAAAAACGATGAAATGTAGTTTTTAACGTTAAGGCTTCTCTAATATTGTTGGGTATGAACGTAGAATGAGTGAGGAGAGGGTTTAATCACTGTGACCTTAAGGATCTATTGTGTAACAACAATAACTCCTTCATTACAGTTGAGGGTTGGAACCCTTAGTGTTACACAGCAAAATAAAATACTAAATCACCACAATACACCAAAACACTTTTACTTTTACACTGGACGCGCGTTTCGCTAACAATGTTAGTATCATCAGCAGATGACTAAAAACCCAAACTACTGAAAAATGATATTTGAATTTTATTGTTGATAGAATCCTCGACGTATCCCTCGGCCACTGTCGAAGATTTCCACCCTCCGTGACGCTTCAAACTAAATATATCACCCCCTGCATTAGCAAGGAGTGTGGCTGAAGTTCTCCGGGAACAATGCACAGTGTAGCACAGTGTGGCAGCTTCAAGTGTTTTGCTATCATGCTAGGCATCTTAGTAATAAAATTTATGCCGACCACTTGGTTAACACATCTTTTATTTTGATATTTTAAAAACAATCTGCGACTGGTAGCATTTCATGGACGAAGAGCTGCGTATCTTCGGTAAATCTCAATATAATTAAAATTTGACACTGTAAAGTCTCTGTCTATGATTGTTTTTGTATCGGGTACTTTAACAATCAAAATTGAATCTTTATCATCTATGTTATCGACCGTCATTTTAGTGAGTTCCTCACGGCGGCAAGCACCAGAAATGCCAAGTATTAAAACGACCCAAAAGGAAATCGATGACGATGTTCAGTAATAAAAAAACATATTCCAAGCTCACGCTTTTTTTTCGAAGCAATAATATAATAATAATAATTTTTAGGGATATCACGATTTTAATGTTTGTAGAAAAAATGTTGTTTGCAACTCGTGCGCGAACTACTTTGGTGATCTCGACTAATTTGTCTACTCGGCTACGCCTCGTTAAAAAATTCAAGTAGCAATCGCCAAAGTAGCACTTTGCGCACTATATACAAAAATAACTATTAACGCTTCGTGTTGAAGGAATTCGCTCGAAAATTTCTGGCAACACTGCCACCAAGGCTCTCTTTTTCGAGGAGTGCTTTTGCTTCCTCTGGAGCAAGTTCTTCGTGGAGCAGACGGAGGTATCTCCGTACTTCTGCTCCACTAAGACCTACTCTCAACGGATTGTCTAGATGTCTAGCCTGCCTGGTTGACCCAGGCCTGGTAGACGAAACGGTAGCTTGAGAAAATATCTCAATGACCTGAATGTATTTATTTATTGTTATTATAAAAAATTGAGCCTAATTTTATTTTATCGTACAGAAAATATTTGTTTAATAACAAGCACAATCGAAATTAAATGTGTTAACTTATTATACATGTGTATTTCCAAAAATTGGTCTTAATTTTTATGAGTAAACACATTTGTATATTTTATTAACACCTCCATTCATACAAAAAGAAGGTATATATTGGTTTTGGCTGAGAAATCATGTGTGTTTATTGTTATAATTGTTATAACTACATTTAATTGAGGTCGCGTCCCGTGATCGGTTTGTGGTGCGACATTTAACACAAAAGCACGAAAAAGTGTGACCTTAATAACCTAAGACAAATTTTATTAAGTAACCCATTAAATTTAATTTGATAAATAAACCGTGTAATGCTAGTCGGTGTCGGTGTAATGGATTGTAAAGGACTAGTGGCCGTTTTATTTTCAAATACGCGATTATCCTCTCACATGACCTGTTTTTTTTATAAAAATTTGTTGAAATGGGTTACTATGACGGTTGAAAAAAATATCTAGTTTTAGATTTAAACAAAGCATATGTTTGAAAACTTGAATTTTTTTAGTTTTAATTTCTTGAAAAAAACCTGATCGCCATTGGAAGAAATTTCACAAAATAAAAAAATTGTGTGTGCACTAAGTGCATATATCTCGGCATATATGAAGTGAAACTTTTTCTTACTTCCATCTGTTTGTCTATCCGTCTACCCATCTGTTCGTCTGAGCATTTCATTCGAGTGCCTCCATCCACGTGCTTAGTTTGGTTCCAACCGACCCATAATTACGAAAAATCCTGATGACTTCGTCCATTTAGAAGCATATCGGTTCAAAACGTCGAGGGTCTTGTAGCCCGTCCCCAATTATGCCGAAATCGACCCACATTTTTCTTCAATATGAAATCCTTAGCCTCACCCTGTCATTTGTAAAATTTGGTTGCGATCGGACGACATCAACTTTTGACGTTTCTTACCATGGGGTTTGATGATGGGGTTTCGTAGTGTACGAAACGTCGTCAAAATATCATGAAAAGATGGAGCTCTTCGAGCTCTGAGATGGCGATTTTTAAATCACAGCGACTGCAACATGCGATTGCGATTTTAATATTTAAATATTGTACTAGGCAGTGGCGGATCTAGGGTAAAATACGTCGTGGGCAAAGACAAAATTTGGCGCCTCCACATTTCAAAAATTGTATAGACACCCCCCCCAAATAAAAAATATAATATGAAAAAATATTTCAAACGTTATATTACTTGAAACATAAATAAAAACAAAACAAAAGAACATATTTAGTACTTATGCAGTCATGCAACCCTGCGAAGATCACGAAAATACCTGCTTACTACAAAATATTGCACGAAATGGGCTCTTTCACAAAAAATAAAATACCCAATTCAGGGACAAAATCTGAAATAGAAGACTATTTTCAGTATATTTATCCAAAAAAAATAGTTCCATGACATTGAATAATTTTTTATAGGCCCTCAAAATTGCTTTAATTTGAAATAATTTTAAAGTGCCAATTGATGACGTATGAAAAATACGCCCAATCACATTGCAGAACCGTGCTCGTGCGCCAGCCAACAACCGGCAATATTGCAATTTGATTTGACCAGCACCACTTCAACTCAAGGCTAATCAACATGATATGGTCAAGGCAAATATGGCGGCGAAGGTAGCGCATTATTAAATTGTTTACCTTTAATCTGAAAAGCCGGTAGTGGTTTCTCGTTCCGATTGCATACCAGAAATAATTAATTATCTCTAGTTTGTTGTGCTTCTGCAACACGTTTGTTTAGTTCTTAGTGTTCAGTGCATGGTGTGATCAGAAAATTGTGATAAAATAACAGTGTAATAAAAATCCAAACCGGACATTCCACATAGGGAACTGCAAACTTTTGTGCTTGTCGTACTCCTCTATTATTAATTATTTTAAGGTAAGAACTAGAAGTATCTATCAAGATATTACACCTAAATGAGTAAAAAGCCTTCGCCGCCAGTCTGCATAGTACTTTATAATGGTTACTTACAATAATCAAAAGATAGGTATTAACCCAGATACTGCCAAAACTTTTTTTTTCGAAAAATTTATTCAGATTTTAAATTTTAGTCCTAAGGATAAACAAAAATTGATATTTTAAGTAAATTTTGGATTTTACCATTGTGTTTTTTCTAAAACCGGTGTTCTTTTAAAAGAACGGTGGCAAAATATTACTATTTGAAAGAAAAACAAACAAATTTTAAAGATAGGGTTTATTATGTTACCTATATATTTTTAAACGAAAAAATTACAATGTATGACAGCTAAGAAAGCAATTTTTAGGGTGCAAAGTAATGGAACATTTTTGACAAAAAAAATTACAATTTTTATGACATACATTACATCGGGTCTGTTTTTCCTGATACACAACCAAATGATCTAGTCTATCATATCTAGATGTTTCATGAAGATTTGCGGACTGACGGCTGGGACCTCTTTTTGTTGTTTTTTTATATGTCTCCAAAATTGAAGTTGCCACTGATTGTCTAAATCTTAGATGATCTTTTTTTCCGCCTCCAATTCGATATATCTGCCAAGCATTTTGTTCGGCCATGTCTAGACAGTGAGATATTAGTGGAAAATACCACTTTTTACCTCTTATTTGAGTTCGATAGAGGCTAATATTTTGATCCGCCCTGTCAACCCCACCCATGTTCTCATTATACTTTTTTATTACATGTGGTTGCGGTACGTAAATCGTTTTTATCTCTTTCTGGGAAAATCTTTTTACTGGGAGGGTGGGCATTATTTTGGTGTGATTTGAAGCAATCGTTACTACGCTATTATCGCACCACTTGCATAAAATTATAGAATTCGTATCAGAAGATACAAATTCTAATGCACCGCGTTCCTTTTTCTTCAACACTGAGGAGTGAGATAAAGGAGAGTCTTTACCGACGCGATTTTCTCTTATTGTGCCCGTACCTTTCAGACCCATATTTTTGAGCTCTTCGAGTAAATGAAGGGATGTAAAAAAGTTATCGAAAAATAAATGAAAAGGGACAGCCTTAGTGTACTTTTTTTGAAGTACTTCTGCAAATTCTAGCACCACTGTTGCACCTAGGCCAAGATCTTTATACCTACCCGAAAGGACGGTGGTTGAACCCTGATAGGGTTCAAACCATTCAATATACCCTGCAACAGTTGTTTCCACCCACAATTTATAGCCCCATCTAATTGGCTTTCCTTTTATAAATTGTTTCGAACCATGATGCCCAAAATATGGTACCATCGATTCATCGACGCTGTGCGACTCTTCACATGGTGACATATCTATAAATTTTTTACTGAGGACATCAAAAAGAGGTCGTAGTTTGGCAAATTTATCATTAGCGGATAAGTCAGCATTTTTACAACAATGAATATTTTGCATTATAAAATTAAACCTATTTCTAGATATCGCTTCACAAACCAAGATACTATTAGTGTCTCGAGAATTTTCCCAATACATCGACCTTCTTGGGTGGGAAGAATAGCCACTGAGTAGCAAAACACCCAAAAAACAGCGAATCTCGTCGTCAGTAATATCTCCAGTACGGTTATGTGAATTAGCATACATATTTGAGTACTTTACCAGCATCCCGATGACTTCATTATCAAAAAATAGGAAAAATGCATCAAGAGGAGTGTAGAGCTGTCTTGGTCCGTATGTTGGAAGGAAAGAAGGCATATCGGAGTCGATATCCTTATTATCCCATTTATAAGTTCGTGTTTTCTTTAGGACTCTGCTTCCAATAATCCTTGACCCAAAAGTGGACAATGGCAAGTCATCCTCACTATCAGAAGTGTCTGTTATTACAGAGACACTAGCGTCTCCGGTATCGTCCTGCGAAACTTCAGCTTCGGCACGTAACTGACGCCCTGGAAGATTACACATTTGCACGTTCTCTTCGTCCCCAGAGTCCTCATCAGTGTTATCGTCATTTGCGTTCTCTGGAGGAAATATGATGATATTATTGTGTGGGTCTTTATCCAAAGCCTCAACTTCCTCCAGTAATTCATGTAACGTCAGAGGCTTATTCCAATACCTAATAGAAAAAATAGTTGAATATAGTTGATTTTGCCATTGTTCTTTAAAAAAAACAGGCGAGTTATTAGGCGTACAATTTGTTTGGCGTCATTTATTATAACCCCACTCCTATTTCTACATTTAATTTATACCTATTTTTGTCAACTTTGATAACATATTTTGCATATAGAAGTAAAACAGGACAAATTGTTCATACCTTCTAGTATCCATGTCATATCACAATTTATTATAGCAAATATAAAATCAATTTTTCAATAAAGTTGATCGAAATCACGAAAACGGCCGGTTAAAACACGAACTGATTATTACTGCTTAAAACATACTGGTGGCGTCATCTATGATTAAATAGTGGTGTTTCAGTAAATAGGAAACCTGTAATGTGTCTTTTAAAAGAACGGTGGCAATATCTGGGTTAAAGGGTAGGTATTAACATTTTATTGTAGCATGCCTTTTACATGCTCTGTTCCAAATTGTCACGGGAATTATAGAGGGGGTCCCAAGGTTTCTGCTTTTATATTCTTCAAAAACGACGAGCTTCGTAAAAAATGGTTGACGGCTATTAAAAGAGATAATTTCACTCCTACTAGTAGTTCTCGGGTAAGAAGTGCTTTAAATATGCCTCAAAAAGGCCAAAGGCCAAATCCTCTGTTACCCTAATGAGGATGTAGTTATGGCTACTGCTTACACTTACCTCACTATATGTAAAATATTGGAAGAAGAATCAAGCTTTTTAGATCAAAAAGATCACAGAAAGATATTGACAACATTGACATTTGAAAATATAAATGGCCTGGATGTAAGTCTTTTTTTAGGTCACAATTGCCCCTCACATATGTCAGAATTTATTATTAAATCCATATTGTTTGGAATATCCAATAATGTATTGAAGAACTATGCAAAAAAAGGAATGACGTCTTTACCACAAAGACAATGCCCTATGTAAAGAGAAAGAGTAAAGAAAACTAAGCTAAGCGTAAGTTTTACTTACGAACCCCCAAAAAGGTATTTAGTTTTTTTTTTCTATATAAAATCTTGAAACACATATTTTATATATTTTATTTTTTTATAATCCTCACCTATTATAGTTTAAATTTATTCCTATTTGTGTAATGCTGCAAAACATAGAAAAACTATTCCATATTTTTTGACCCAAGCCAGTGTAGTTTATAATTCCAAGAGCATTTACCAAGGCTTTTACTAAGACAAGTAACTTGCTATAGTGTTCATAATAGTATATATTTATTAAACGTTCAGTAAATTCTAAACTATGGTAGGTAACTACTTATGTGGAGAACTTTAGATTCCCTGTATATTAAAAAAAATAGTGAAATATTACGTAACCTAACCCGACATTTGTGTGAAAAATGTCTATTTGGAAATAACACAGGTTTTAAAATACGCGCCAAATAAAGCACTTCTATCTCCGTCATATTGGAAAAGGTTGAATGGCCTTCTGTGGAGGTGGTGGTGGGTCAGCATGGTGGCCCGGCCGCGGCCGTGTTGCCGCTTTTCAACATGCCAGGTGTGACGCATTAAAAATAAAGTGCGGATTTTTATTCTGGGCTTTTTTGTTTTTATTTATTTTCTTAAGAACGACTTCAAATTTTTCGAAAGCGAGATAGCAGAAAATTCTAGAATTAATTGCTTTATTCAATTATGCTAATTCCAAAATATAGTCAAAGAGCCCATTGCGCTTAAAATTTGACTTTTCTAGCCTTTACAGAAGCCATTTCATCTTTCACTTTATTAAAGTGAATTTTTTCGGCTATTTCATACTCTATACTTAATATTCCCAAGTCAGTCAGTCTCTCCTGTGTCATAGTTGAACGCCTAAAATCTTTAATTAATTTAAGTTTACTAAACGACCGCTCACATGACACAGAAGTGACTGGCATGGTCAGAAATATTCGCAGCGCGGTCTGCAACTTCGGATAATTCAGAATTAAGCAATATTTTTCTAGCATATTAAGAATATCTAAACAGCTAGCTGCTTCCAGGTTTGGAAGCAACAAGTTGCGTGATTCTTGAAATTTTCAAGTCGTTAGATTTAATTGCTAAATCTGCAGCATGTTTTTTTATTTCTTCTAGTGGTAATGATGCCAGTGACTTTCCAGAAAGGAAATAAAAATCTTCGACAACACCTTCCATAGCATTAAACCTCCAGGAAAATTGCTCATTTATTTATTTTATCCAATGATTCAAAAATTTGAATTTTGAGTTGTTGTTCTTGGGTTAATGTACCAATTTCGTCATCAGCGTTTTCATCGAAAAATCTTTTTACTTTACTTGTCCGTTTTTTGGGAGAACAGGCTCAATATTGCTTGCCTCTGCAAGGATCTTTGTGACAAATCTTTTCGGATTAATCACTTGTCTATGGGTAGCGTGACTATTTTATAATTATGAAAAATTAATTAAGTTGAACGGAAGGCAAACTTGGATAAAAAGTACACCGACTCTTTGGAGCGTATGTTTTAATGCTTTGTCTTAGTGCCTGTTAGTCTCTCAAATCTATTATATAACTTACCTTAATTACGGCCCGACCTCTGTCTGTAAATATGTAGCTCATTTCTCGAGACTTTTCGGGACTGCTCTGGAGATATTCTGCCCGTTCATAAGGATCTTATTTGTATACTTTTAAAACACTCTTGGTTATTTTTTACTATAGAAATAAAACGGCCGAGTTTTTAGAAAACATTTAAATTTAATATTAGAAAGAAAATAAAGAACAAATAAAAAAAAAATATATATATGATCGAAATTACTTATTACTAAAAATGGAAAATAGATGGAAAGATACAAGAAAATTGTCTGGTGTCTGCTTTGTTGAAAAATCTGATAATTACATAATCAATGGAACCTTCATTACTAAAACTTACTACAACACATTAAAATAATTTTAGAGAAGAAAATTAAAAACAGAAATTAAAAACATTTGACGATAAAAAAAATACTATTAGCAGACACCAGACTTAAAACCTACAGGGGGTCACATCGTGAACCTTACCGAATTTCGCGAACCCGAGGGAGAACCGTCTCTTTTAGAAACTTAAACCGAACTAACTTTTCTGCCTAAAAACAGCCCCGAGGTTCCAACATTACAGGGTTGAAGGGTGGTGCATTCGGTACTTCGCCAATAGGATCATCCCTAAAGGTACTGTTCTTTGCTTGATTGGTCAGCTTGACACCGCCCTTCACACCAAATTGGTTCGACCTCCCGTTGTTAGATGGCAGTACTATGACCATTTTACGTATTTAATTCTCGTTTATGTCTAGATACGTGCTTTCCTAAAGTTCCCAGATCCTTTACAAACATCCGGCGATAGTTACATGTTATCAAGGGTGGTTATTGGTTTTACAATGTCCCAGCGTTTTTATCTACGGTCTATCTTTACAATTTTCTGTTTACTTCTAAGTTCTACAGTTTATTTGCTTTGCCCTTCTATAAGTTTGGGAATTTAAAAATAGTCACGTTTGAAAGATGTTTGTTTTATTACTTCCTGCTAAAAGACCCTCTCCCGAAACTAATAACCGAAAACATCGACTTGAACGTAAAGGACATAGGAAATAATCTGTTAATAATATAAATAATAATATAAAGGAAATAATCTGTTACATCTTTGCAAAATCGCAAATCACAACTATTGTAATATTTTGGTTGTCTAAATTGAAACTCGCAAATAGAAGAAATCGCAATCGTAGTTTCCTATGAGAGCCAATCGCAGGTTGCGATTGCGATATTAAAATCGCTGCGATTGAATTGCAGTTGTTACGATTTTTTGCTCATCTCTAATGGATATAAGCAATATGTGATGTAAGTCTATAAGTATCTTTTGCAGTTCGACATAATCAGGTCGATGGATTTTTCAGAGTTATTATGTTAAAGCAAATTTGCTCTCATTTTATTTAATTCAGAATTCAGTGATTAACTGTAAACCCATGAATCATCATAACACTATGATGATTGTTATCAATGATATACCGTTTACACGTCTTGGAAGTAGCAAGATACAACTTTCTATACTAGATCCAATGTGATCAGCACTTTGCTTCAACACAGATTTGTGAGTTCTCACTTTTAATTAAATTAAATATCTGGGTAGCATAACTGACATGCACGATGTTATGATGTAAAGCACTTAAGTATTAATTAATTGTTAATATTTTGATTATTTGTTGTATGTGACTGAACCAAACAATAACTCACTAACTTGTGTTTTAATTGTGCTGTGATTTGTTTTAAGGAAAGAAAGAAAATGGGAACGCTATGTCAAAAATATTTGATCCAGACACATTGCAGATACGAGTTAGGTATTCTGGAAGTCTTGAAAAGGAAAGCAAGTAAGTCTTTTACAATTTTTTTTATAAAAATCCGTACTGTATATGATTTTTTGTTAATTTGCTGTTAATAGATTATTTCCTATAATTTTGCAGAACTTGGTGGTACAGATTTTGTGTAAAATGCAGAGGAGAAGACGAAGAAAACATACCTTCTTGGGAACCGAATTCATGGCCAAGATTTTGTCCTTACCCCTTTTTTCCCACTTACAGACAGTTTTCTAGAGTTGCCTGTCTCATTCTAATAGGACTACTATTTTGGTGCGTCATATATTCCATTGTAGGTAAGAATAAGATTAACAAAAGAAATATTCTGGATATTTTAGAAGTAAATTTTAGGTGACACTGCAGCGCCACCACACGGTAAGCTCTTCCAGCTCATCCTTATCAGTATATGCGCTTACTTGGGCGGATGGGTGGTAAGTTTGACAACGCTGCCCGCTCTAATAGGCATGCTATTCACGGGTTTGTTCTTGCAAAATGCCGGCGTGGTCGATTTGGACGAGTCGTTTTCAGAAGTCGCCAACAAAATCAGGTATGTTGTGACTAAAAATCTAGAATACTCTGCTACATTTCTACCGTATGATAGGATAAAGAAAACGGGGCTCAGTTGGCTTGGAAATGACGATCGATGACATTCTCCACATAATTTTACATATAGAATGACAGCGATCTTCAGTTCATAGCCATCGCTTAGGCCGTTTTTTTTTTCATATTGTTACGTTTTTCGTCGGTTCCGTGTGGATAGAAAGTCACAATTTATTTAAACACTATTTATGTAACACTAATTAACAAAAACAATAACGATAAAAGACTTATAGAACTATTTACAAACGATTTATAACTAAGAATTTATTTTGAATTTTAGCGCGTCAACTACACTCGTCTATTTATAACTGCCCTCTCTAGGCCCCAGCCGCCTTATACCGACAGCTAAAGATCTCTAGAATAGTCCATAGATCGTTAGGTGCATAGAGAAGGTTTCGATTGTTCTCGTATGTACTACTCCATTCCAGTGGAACTCGATTCTTCTCGAATCTTCGAATGAATCATTACGGTGTCTATTCTTTAATGCGATGTTAAGGTCATCTGAGGGCGGGCCATATAGTTAGGTTAGGTCGAGTCCACACCGGTCCGCAACAATATTGTACCTTACTATACTCAGAGGCAAAAAAACGAAAAGGAGAAATTCTTGGTCAAATTTAAAGTGTATTTTTGTTATTTTTTGCCTTATTTTCATGATTTTTTTTAGCAAATTGTATATAATTATATCAACTTTAACTCGTAAACTAAGTTATTTTTGAACTTTGGTATTTGGCGTATTGTACAGGGTTAATCGAGGGGTTGTTTTTACTAACTTTAAAACACCCTGTGCAATTATTTCGTGTGTAAATTTTCCTGAAATATAATTTTACGGTCAGAATCATGGGTCCTGAGCATTTTGTTTTTTTATTTATGTCAATACATGCTTTGATTAATTTATAAGAGCAAAATGAACTGATCATGATCAATTTGCAATTTTTTCCAGTTATCGTTAATCTTTGATGTAATTTTTTAATATGACGAGATGGTTTTAGTGACTATTGTAACGTCATATTACGCTGCATCGGATATTCTATACTAAATTAAAAAAAAACGTTAAAAACTCACAATACGGTCTTAGTTTTAATAAACATTCATAACGATAACAGACCTAACGATATTAAAGAAAACATCTGTAATACTCAAGTATACAAACTGCTATAACTGCCTGTATACGTCCGTTCATATTGTCATTGAGGCTGCATATTACATATTGCGTTATGGCTTTCCCATTCTTCTTTAAGAACCAAGCGAAGGTCATTTAATGAAGTTGGTACAGCTTCGCGACCTCCTGCCAAGTATTTCCCAAACGTCGAACATGTTCAAAGTAGTATATTGTTCACAATAATCACTAAAGCCTTGGAATATTGAAAAATAACTTGTAACATAAGAAATGATAATTGCAAATTGTTGGTAGCAAGTTCATTTCGCTCTTAAAAATTAACCAAGGCATGTATCGACATGATTCAAAAAACAAAATGCCCAGGAGACATAATTCTGACCGTAAAATTATATTTTAGGAAAATTTACACACGAAATTATTGCACAGGGTATTTTAAAGTTATGGTAAAAAAAACATCCCCTTGATTAACCTTGTATAAAAGAGCAGTTCGTTGAGGAGACAGTGTCCTGTTAGAAACCCCGTGACAATCCGAAGATTGTTTTTGCTTAAATCAAGGAAAATATTTTATTTTTCTAGGTCGTGTACCAAGTCCTGAGGAACTTTTTAGAGTGCCTTAGACCGTCCCATTCCACGTTAAGGATGGAGTCTTCCAGGTTCTTCAGTTCCGCTTTTAGTTGGTTTCCCTTTGGAAAACAGAACGGTTCTGGTACAGTTAGTGGAGTGTTCGCTCCTTTTCTAGCTAGATCATTTGCTTTTCCATTGCCTTCTATCCCCTGGTGAGCGTACACCCAGAGTAGAAGGACTTTATTTTCTTTAACCAATATGGTACCTTAGTACTTAGCTACTTTTAATACACAGTCTCCATAGATGTTGCATTTTTAATGTCATTTAGTATTAATGGCATTTTCCATAAGAAGCCATGTCTTAAAGAGTGACAGAGAATAGATTTTTTGTAAGATCTTACCAGGAAATTTTTAATATGAAATCCAGAACCGTATTTAGAATTCTTCTTCTCATCACGCCCTCTCCTGCCGAAGGTTGGCGATCCAAATGGAAATTGTGGCTCTGGAAACTGCAGCCCGGAAGATTTCCGCAGACGAGCGTTCAAACCATCTCCTTAAATCTTTTAGCCATGAGTTCTGGCGTCTTCCTACTGATCTTTTCCCTTGCACTTTGCCCTCTATTATGAGGCGCAGTATTTCGTATCTACCACCTCTCATCACATGACCCAGGTACTGCATTTTTCTTTCCTTAATGGTGTTCAGTATCTCTTTTTGTTTCTGCATGCGCTGGAGTACTTCATCGTTGGTGATCCTTTGTACCCATGAGATTCGCAGCATCCGTCTATACACATACATTTCGAAGGCTTCTATTCTCTTTTCGGTCTGTGAATCCAGTGTCCAGCTCTCACATCTATAGAGTAACAAAGAGAAGATGTAGCATCTGGCCATTCGAGCTCTGAGTTCCGCACCGAGGTCTCGTCTTGTAAAAAATGATTTCATTGTCACGAAGATTTTTCTCGCTTGCTCAATTCTTGAAAATATTTCTCTTTTCGGGTAGCACTAAATACTTTATTGAGGTCACCTGTTCGATTATTTGTCCCTTGACATGCAGGTGTGCATTTATTGGAGTCTTAGAAAAGACCAATAGTTTGGTCTTGGAAACATTGAGATGCAGTCCAAACATCTCACTATAGTGGACTACGGAATCTATAATGCTTTGCAGTTCTTGTACATCGTTGGCTATTGTAATCTAAATATCGTTATAGCCAACGATATTTAGAATTAGAAAGTTATAAATGGCAGATCAAAGAAGAAACGTTTGTTTATAATTCGGATACACCGTCTTGTAGTCGATTTCTTGGGTCTCATTTTGAAATTGTCCAACCATACATACCTTTCGTTTATTGAATCATTCGCATCCAACCTTTTCTATCCTGCAATTACGCTGCCTTTAAAGGTTTAACATTATTGTTTAATTGTTGTATCCTGTGATGTTTGACTGATTCGCAAAACAATACGCAAACGAAAACATTCGGCGATAATGGGTTACGACACATATTCAATCCCATTGTTTTCGTTTTTCCGAATAGTTTACGAGTTTTGATTTTAATTGGTTATTAACAACAGTTAGATAATCTATCTATCTCAAAAGAATATTTGAATGAAAATAGTATGTGCATTAATGCATAATTCTAGGAAAATTCCGATTATATTATCAATTAAGCTCCGTCTACTCATATTGTGTCAAAAAGTGGAAATGTTAAAAGTTGGCATATAAAAAAATATATAAAATTTTAGTGTCTTCTTCAAAAGCGAATATCTTATAAAAAAGTTATTGAGATGCACCGAAAAACAAACTATTGAGAAAAGATGAATCCAGATGATAAAGTGAATTTTAAATTGCTTGTTTTGGTAACATATTCCACGGGGTGTTTCAAACTATCACCAAAATGTCAATATTTCGTTCTCCCTCGCATAATAGACAGATGAAAACTTTCATTTTTAATTTAGAAAGAGATACTACAAAGGTACAAAGTCAAATAATTTAGCTACAAATTGCTTAAAAATCATCGGTCCACTAGAACACAATATAACGGGTGCGTCTCAAAAGTGGCTCATCCCTTTTCAACTTTCTTATTTCAACTTCTTCTTCAACTTTTTTATTTTTTCAGATAAAAAAATGAGATTTGGTATGTTTGTATACGACATAAATTAGAATTGATTGACGTATTCAATTAATTGTTTTCGGTCACTTCCTGTTTCACCGGAAATGACTACAATTTTTGATTTTTAAATGGAATTCTCGGTATTTTTTACTTTATTCTATAGAAAATGACACTCTGAATAGAATGATGTATGATATGTCAACTTTTGACATTTTCGCATATGGTTTATTTGAAATTGTAACATACGGTTCATAATGACAATTTGATTCGAAATACCAAGTGTGTGGTATCAAATTGTTCGAAAAAATGCTTTTTTCCAAATATGCTAATGAGCCCCCACCCTCGTTCGATGTTCATCTCGAGATATGACTAAAAATACGATTTTGGCATCTCTTAACTGTCCAGAACAAGGCACGAAAAACATACGATCAAATCTATTTTTCCAAAGCCCCTTGATTTAAAATTAGTATTTTTAACATAGCTATGTCACTCTACATTGAAATTTAAACTACGATTTTTTTAAGCGAGAATGTCAAAAATTGACATATGATATGTCATTCTATTCAGAGTGGCATTTTCTTTTGAATAAAATAAACAAATACCGAGGGTGTCATTTAAAAACAAAAGTTCTTGAATACGTCCATCAATCCAGATTTATTTCATATACTAACGTACCAAATCTCGTTTTTTGTTTTGTGAAACTTTTGAGAAACCCAAGCGGCGCACAGTGGGGTATTTGACATCGATAGTTGATCGAATTTTTTTTATGTAGCCCTTATATAAATTATTGCTATTTTCAATTAAAGAGGAAATAATATGAACAAAATAAAGGATAATTCGTCGATTCAAAAAAAAAGAAAGAAAAATCACTGTTCCAGTGTTTCCACGGTCAGTGCCACTGATGCCAGTAGTAATATCGCAACTAATACTACTAATGCTACGACTGATCCGCGACCAATGCCCATACCACTAAAGCCGCTACTAATGCCAAATTGTGCTATACTGCTAATGGCAGTAATGCGATCGCTTTGTACACAAAAATGCCATCGCCGGTTTACTCCTCGCATTAGTATATGACTGATTTATTATTATTAAAGGAAACCAAGAATATTTTCTATTTTACTGTATGAAAGCTCAATGTTTACTAAGTAAAAACGTATATAGACAATATGCTGAATTCTTCGAAATGCGCAACTAAATCTCTAAGTATAATAAAAATGTCACAAATTTAATCAAATTTTCTGAACGCCTAACTTTTAGTTGCAAAAAAAATCGTTAGTATAGAGAATATCAAAATAAATAATATGTTTTTGTAGAATACATATCTGCAGCTTGCTGATCCATTTTCAATCAAAACAATAATATAAACTTAAAAGGAGCACAAGAACAACAACAATTTATAATTTTAAACATAAAATTTAGCCATTTACCTCATATCTGTGAGAAGTAACAGCTTTAACGGTTCGTTGAAACAAATGAATGCAACTAAACACACCCATAGCAACGCCATTGATGGCAGACATGATTTAACTTATTATTTATCTTTTTTTGGGAAATATTAAACGCATTTGCTTTTTCGAATTTCGATCACCTTTTTCATGCTAATACTCCACCGTGAGGCGCAGAGCTCTTGGCCAGGCTGACGGTAACGTCAGCTACATCTGGGACAGATTTTGTGCCACGAAATCGTTTTTCAATCAACGTTTAAGTCAAACACTTCTCATACTATATTTTTCTCATTTTAGACATGGAGCCCTTGTCATAATCCTGATCAGAGCAGGTTTGGATCTGGACCCAAAAGCCTTGTGGAAATGGAAGTGGGTAGTGGTACGCCTCAGCCTGATACCCTGGCTCACGGAGGGAGGAGTTTGCGCTATTTCGGCGAAGTTCCTGTTTGGCATGACGTGGAGCTACTCCATATTGCTGGGAAGTATTATTGCAGCAGTGGCACCCGCAGTTGTGGTACCATGTCTCTTTAGGTAAGCCATAGTAGGGTTTTAATTCAAGTTTTTGTAAATTCAAGGCAAATGTATTCTGAAATTCGGAGAAAATCCAGACTTCGTCAAAAAATAACTTGTGAATTTCATCTTGTAAAGTTGGTCTATAACGAGATAATACCTGAGAGTGAGAGCTGATGTCTGTCATTTTAATTCACAGCGAAATTGTATTTTCTGTCATTTTTTGGATGCAGTCTGATTATATTCTTTTATGATTTGTTGGTAAAAGTATGTATATATTTAGGGTGGTCCGAACTGTATTCCGGAAACTTCGGCAGCATATTCTGCAGATAAAAATAAGTAAAAAAGCTCGTGTAGATATTTTCATTTCGATTTTTTCCAAGTAATTTATGAAGTAACATCAATGTTTGGATGAAGATTTGTGTCTGGAAGTTTTTTGATATGAGAAATTTGATTTTGATGTCAATATGACTCCTACTTGTTGAGGGCGGCACCTACATATTTTTTAACTGGTTTGAAGAGTAATAACTTTTCGTCTGTACCGGTATAAAACTACTGAGTAAAAAAATATCCATTTACGACGTTTTTTACTTAAAAAAGGTCTCTTGGTAAACATTGCTACAAGTAATGGTTCTCGAAATATTTGGAATCGAAGTTGTCAATACCCTATCATCATTGACAATTAAACTAATTAACTAAAGAAATCAGAAGATGTATATTATTTCGTATATTTTTCATTTTATTGATTTTATGGAAAGCACTGTTCATTGAAATGTTGTATCCTATGTTATAGGGCTTGTTTCTCTCTACAATCTCCTGTCTCACAATGTACCGCTTGTGTTCAGGAAGGGTTCATAGTTTCATAGATGTCGATTTTCGAAAGAAATCAGAACATGTATATTATTTCGTATATTTTTCATTTTATTGATTTTATGGAAAGCACTGTTCATTAAAATGTTGTGTCCTATGTTATAGGGCTTGTTTCTCTCTACAATTTCCTGTCTCACAATGTACCGTTTGTGTCTAGGAAGGGTTCATAGTTTCATAGATGTCGATTTTCGAAAGAAATCAGAACATGTATATTATTTCGTATATTTTTCATTTTATTGATTTTATGGAAAGCACTGTTCATTAAAATGTTGTGTTCTATGTTATAGGGCTTGTTTCTCTCTAAAATTTCCTGTCTCACAACGTACCGTTTGTTTCTAGGAAGAGTTCATAGTTTCATAGATGTCGATTTTCGAAAGAAATCAGAACATGCATATTATTTCGTATATTTTTCATTTTATTGATTTTATGGAAAGCACTGTTCATTAAAATGTTGTATCCTATGTTATAGGGCTTGATTCTCTCTACAATTTCCTGTCTCACAATGTACCGTTTGTGTCCAGGAAGGGTTCCTATTTTCATAGATGTCGATTTTCGAAAGAAATCGGTACATTTATTTTATTTCGTATATTTTTCATTTTATTGATTTTATGGAAATGTTGACTAAATAATTATTAGAGTGAAATTATAAATTTGAAATGTTTTTTGTATCAAAAGTTTAAGAGAAACTTTTATCATCATTTTTTCGCAGAAAAATTTATAATTAATTTAAAAAAAATCCCAAATTTATTATTTCAGTCAAATAACTCTCTACTCAACGTGTTTATTTTTTGTCAATAATGACAAGTATTGACTATTTCCACTCTAAATATCTTGATACAGTTGCTAGCAGCGATTTTTACCAAAGACTTTTTTACATAAAAAGTCACGGAAATGTATTTCACTCAGTAGTTTTATACAGGTACCGACGAAAAGTTATTACTCTTTAAAACAGTTAAAACATATGTAGATGACGCCCCCTACAAATAGGAGTTATATTGACATCAAAATCGAATTTCTCATGTCAAAAACTCCCAGATAGCAATTTTTATCCAAATATTGACGTTATTTCAGAAGTTATTTGGAAAAAATTGAAATAAAAAAGTAACTTCTACACCCTGCATCTTTGAAACTAAGCATTTTAGGACATGCATTTATACGAAATTTTTTACTTATTTTTATCTGCAGAATATGCTGCCGAAGTTTCCGGAATACAATTTGGACCATCCTGTATAAAGCCTCCAGAACAACAAGTCAAGAGTGTCACATCATGGATCACTGAGTGATCCCTTTCTAACAAATTCCTAACAAATCCAGGAGTTAGGCAGGGATGTGTCTTAGCGCCCCTTCATTCAACATATTCATAGCAGCGCTCTCCATTATAGTGGACAGCAAACTGCAGGAAAGAGGAATGGACATTAGATACAGATATGGCGGCGGTCTGTTCAACATAAAAAGATTTAGGGCAAAAACACATACAAAATTCATCACAGGACTTCAATATGCTGATGACTGCGCTCTAGTTGCAAGAACGTTACAGAAATTACAAGAAATGTTGAACACATATACCTGGGCATACACGAGGCTTTGGGCCTAAAATTATGTGCACTCCCCTGGAAGATCACAGTAATGCTATAAAAATCGGAGAAGAACTGTTGAAATATGTAGCAGAATTCAATAATTATTTCGACAGTATGATTTTGGAAAAGGCCAATATCGAGTCTGAAATTCAACACAGGGTTAGCAGCGCCTCAAGTGCATTCTGAAAATTAAAAGACAGGGTTTTCTACAATCATGACTTGAGCACAAAAACGAAACTTGCTGTGTATCGAGCAATAATAATTCCCATCATATTATATGGAAGCGAAACCTGGGTGCCGTACCGCCCACAAACGAACGCATTAAACAAGTTGCAACAGAGACACCTAAGACAACTCTTAAGAATCAAGTGGTTCCACCATGTCTCAAAGCATCGGTTCTTAAAAAAGCTAGCTGCGAGAGCGTTGAAGTCATGATTACTAAATCCCGCTTAAGATGGGCTGGCCAAGTATGTAGGATGCAAGAAAACCATCTACCAAAATATCTACTTTACTGTGAGCTTGTAGACGGTAAGAGGAAACCGGGTGGACAACTCAAAAGGTGCAAGGATATTTTCCACTAAAACTTAAAAAGGATAAACATGCAGAATCAGTGGGAAGAAACAGCGCATAACAGAACGCAATGGAGAAGAATTGTAAACTCAGTTAACAGCAACAACCAAAAAGTAAAGAGGCAACAAAGCAATGCGACTTTTGAATGTCCGGAGTGCGAAAGAGAGATAACATCACGTATCGGGCTTTTCAGTCACAGAAAAGCTCATGAAAGAAAACGCCTTTCTTAACCATCTTTTGATGCGTGTCAAATACTCGTCAGCGAGTAATGCCAGTAGTAGTAGTAGTATTTTGTTGGACAGACGACTGCACTTTACTTTAAAGGTGAAATTAAAGGCAATTGAAAAGGTGTTAAGTATACTCTTTCTGTTTAGTGGGCTGTACTAATATTTGTACTGTTTAATATTGTAAAGCAGTATTAAAATTAAAATTAATCTTATTATTGTTTTTTTCCAGGTTACGAACTAAAGGATATGGTGTAGCTAAAGGTATCCCCACACTGATCATTGCTGTAGCAAGTATAGACGACGCCACGTCAATAGCTGTGTTCGGTATCATAAAGAGCATCATGTTTGTTCACAGTTCTTTGACCTCCTTAGTACTGCAAGGACCGGTATCCATAATTGGCGGATTTGGATTTGGGATTCTGTTTGGATTACTGCTAAAATATGCTCCAGAAAGGCATGACAAGTTTGTTGTAAGTATGAAATTAAAAGAAAATGATAAATCTATGCTTACACGCTGTTTTTAAAAGACACCATATTTCTTTTTAAAGAAGTTTATTCAAAAAACTGTGAAACTGATATAAAAATATGCGACTACCCTGTAAAAATTCTAATTTTCTTAGAATAGACTACTAAACATTCCTTCATGTCTGTAATATGTAAATGTAAGAATCCTTTGCCATAAATAATAATTGTTTCTAATGACATCAATAAATGTTACATAAATCAGTATTAAAGGAACAATTCCAAATTGGGAACTTAGCAGTACTAAAATAGAGTGCCGGAGTTAAACTAAATGATATTCAGCTATTCAGCCGAGGCATACAAGCAACCATTAATAGGAAATTATGTAATGAGGTGAGATGGGACCAGAATATTAGATACTTAGTAAAAAAATATATTACATTGCTGTATATCCTGATGTGATAAATAAATTTAGCAAAAAGTAAAAGTGAAATAGTTATTGAAAAATACTTAATTGTCTGTTCAACGACAAGATCTTTGACAGTGTTAGATGTGTCTGTCATTTTAATTTTAAAGTAGTTTATTTTATTTTACAAAGAAATAAGTTGGTACAATTGGAACGTATAGCAGGAAATTAATATATTTAAAATTTGAGTGATAAGTAATTACTTCAAAATATTGTGAAAAAAAATTATAAAACTGAGAAAATCTAACCGAGTTATTTTATTTAAAAAAAACGGTATGTGTTAATACAAAACAAACAAGAACAAAACACCACATACCAAAAAAATATAAAAAAGAACTATTTCTTACTTTCAAGCTTGAAGAAACTTTCCGCATTTTATTATTATATTTATCAATTAACTTATGTACAAATACAAATTTGTAATATTCCACAGGAATAAATAAAACTACATAAATAAAACAAACTATTTTATTAAATAATAACATTTACCGAATTTTATACCTTAAAGGTTGATAACTTTAATCTTAATCGTTTTAAACCAGTACCTTTTGAGATTATTTTTTTGCAGTACTAAAATCCATTATTACCTATTTTGTGATGTCGTTATTTTACAGATACTCCAGTTTATAGTATACGTTTAGTACGATCCTTGCACCATATACGAGATGCACTTATCTATGACGAGATGGTATATAAACATTAATGATTGTAACTTTATTGGTGTATAAGACTTTCTTCCTGGTCACCGAGTATTAACTATAAACTGTGCTCTGGGTCTACAGTTAATTTTCCCTCGATTTTTCCTCCACTTGACTTCAAAAGACACAAAACATACGTAATAACACGAATCAAAATGCATCATCTTCCAAAACGCAGGGTATTTGACATAAGCTGACACAAAATTATAACCTGTAATTTGGCAAGACTTTGACAAGCCTCAAAAATCTAAAGGCGAATTAGTTCTGTCATTTTAGATCTGTCACTTTTGAAATAAACCAATAAAACTGGTTAAAAACAACAAGAGACGACGTATGACGGATTTATATTTAAACCCATCCATAGTTAACTTAAAAAATATTAGAAACTTTTTTAGTAAAATAAATAGATTGGTATGGACGTCATCTGCTTTTCTTCTGTCATCGTCTGTCGAAATCTTACCTGAGAAAAAAAACAGATAAATGTTTAATGGTTTTTATAATTTCTATAAAATTTTGAATTGGTACGTATGATTTTTATGTTTTGTTAACTATTTTTATGTAGTTATATGATGACATATATCTCTTATGTATTTTTTTCATTATTATAGAACAGCAAAATAAAACACTAAATCACCACAATACACCAAAACACTTTTACTTTTACACTGGACGCGCGTTTCGTTAACCATGTTAGCATCATCAGCAGATGATTATAAACTATGAGTTTATATTCCAAACACCAAAGGTTCCAACCCTCAACTGTAATTATAGAACAGGAAATTAGATTTTATTAAACAGTAGTTGGTTTTTTATATACTTACTAAATAGTAGTAGTATCACAGCCTATTTATAACCAGCCTGTCGACTTACAATCATTTGCGCAGAAATTTGCATATTTATCCAGATATTTGTGAATCTTATGTTATGTTCGGGGAACAAGGATAACAAGAGCAACAAAAACGCGGATGAATTAGTCAAATAAGGCTCAGTATTATTCTGAGGTGCTGCAAAAACAATTAAAAAAGGCCCCAAAACAATGGGTGACCGACAAAGCTCTGGTGAAAAAATTCACCAGTAGAGTAGAATCATAATAGAATTCTCGCCAAAATTTACAGCAGATCTGATGAGCAAAGATATGAAAACTGTCAACACTGTGAAGAGTTAAGTTAAGTTAGGTAAAATGACACTGCAAGTTCAATAGGCTTATAGAGCTGACGGAATTGACAGATTAAGCCATGTGCTTATTCTGTCATTTAGAACAAACTGGAACTAACGGCAAAACTCATTCTATGTCAGTGCGTTAGTCTGGAAAATATGCGGTTCTTTATTGTAGTAGTTGATGATAAGCTATTAACAAAGCTTTATAGAAGGTTCAGTCACCCAGATATTAGACTTTGTGAAACTGAAGAGACTGAAGAATATAATTTAGAGATAAGTAGAGGAACATAGTAGATCTGTAAAATTTTCAAGAGAAATAGGCACTTCATAAAATCTATCTAAAATCGATATCGAAAGAAGTAGAATTGTTAAATAGTAAAAATCAAATCATACGGTATTTTAGAGGTGTTACAAAATATTGACACAAAAAAAATAAAATATAAAGAGAAAAATAATATAATTACTTTTATGCTATATTACTAAGCCTCCATTAAAATTGCATAACTGAATTTCAACTGATTATAAATCTAAAGATTTATGCAATTCTTTGTTATAGGTTCCTTTCAGAATATTGATGCTGTTAGCGGCAGGTATGGCAGCGATTTACTTCAGCGAGCATCTTGGTTATGGTGGTGCAGGACCCCTTGGAGCTGTTGTAGCAGCCTTTGTATCGCTTATATTCTGGACGAAACAAGGATGGAGCATAGAGGAAAACCCTGCATCTACCGCCTTCCAAATTTTCTGGATGATTGTTGAACCGGTAAGCCGTCCTATAGCGTTTTTTTGAATGTGGTAGGCAGTGATTCAGTATTGGTACTAAAAGAATTTGGGGACTTGATTTGTCTTTATTTCTTTTAATACTATTATCAGTCAATATATTAATTTTATTTAAAACCACATATGTAATACTGACATTACTGACTTTTAAAAAATTTGAAAGTGTCAAATTATCTACATTTCTTCCCTCTTCCATTTACCTCACTCGGTTTTTCTTATTTCTCGCCTCATTTAATTAAGCAAAATATTCTTGTAATTTCTTTATTAAATACTTACCTAACATCAACAAAAATAAACAAGAAGATTAACAATAATAATTGAAGATTTTAATACATTTAGTTGTTGAAAGTAAAAACGCTAGACTTCTTTGGCTTAAAACCTACATTCTGGCGTTTTAAAAAAGCGACGAGTTTGTGATATTTTTTGATATGTCAGTCTTTTCCCTTAATTCTAGCATTGTCCGTATCATGCTGTACGTAGCCCAAAGAGGAGATGGCTTTTTCTGCCTTGCCATGTCGCTAAATATGCCACCAAGACTGTCTCCGAAGCAATATTCTTAGTATTTCTTTCGGCACACCATTTTTCGTATACTTTCAATGCTTTTTCATATCGCCCTCTACTTTTTTCTGGAAGTAAACTGGCTTCTGCTCTTTTTGCAGCTTCTGTAAGTTCTGGTGGAGTACCAATATTAAAGTAGTCTTCATTATTAGAACTTTCCGACACCATTCTGGCTTTCTATGTTATATAAATTAGAAAAAGCAAACGAGAAATTCATAACTGTCACTTAGTTGTTTGTTTTGCTGTTGAAGGTTTGCGCCATAACAACAACTGGTACCGGTAACTCTAGATATGGAAATGCCAAAACAGAAAACGACAAATTTTCGCATATTTATTTATTTTTTCAAAATAAAATACTGTCCCTATTTTTTAATGATGTGGTTGTAAATAAAATAATATACAAACCCCGGAGGAAAGTTTTCATTATTGCCTCGAGATTTAGTTAATCTCTCGACAGTAATGAAGCACTTCGCCCCTCGGTACTTAATATACTATTGTATGCATGTGAGATCTAATAATATATTTTTTTCTTAGGTACTTTTTGGAATTACTGGCGCTCAAGTGAGATTCGAGGAACTACATGGAACTGTAGTACTGATAGGCATAGGCATTCTAATAATGGGAATTATTATCAGGATACTGGTGACGATGGTTACTGGAATAGGATGTAATCTCAATGCGAGGGAGAAAATATTTTGCGCTATCGCTTGGATGCCCAAAGCAACAGTTCAGGTAATTTGTAACTAGATTAATTTCAAAAAATTAATACAAATAAACAAACCTTACTGTATAAAATGAAGGTACCTGAGATATATAAACCAGATGTAAACAGCAAATGCTAATAAATTGCTAGAATTTATCAAATAAGTTTACTAATGAAGATCTTATATGATTATTTTGCCACACATTTTTTTTTATTTTAAGATCAACAGATTTTTTATGTTGATGTACAGGGTGTTTCAGAAAGCATGTGCCATCTCACGTGGGGAGATTCCTCACGTAAAAATAAGATTCATTTTTAGGGTTCCGTACCCAAAGGGTAAAAAAGGGAACCCTATTACTAAGACTTCGCTGTCCGTCCGTCCGTCTGTCACAAAGGTCTATCTTATGAACCGTTGTAGCTAGACAGTTGAAATTTTCACAGATAATATATCTATGTTGCCGCTATAAGAACAAATACTAAAAACAGAATTAAATAAATGTTTATAAATAAAAAAGTACTTTCACTAAACATTATCTTTTAAGTAATAATTTTACATAGAATCTTTCAAGTCCTCGGTTGCCGCGTGGTTAAAGCGTTAGGACTTTACGCTGCTATGACGTTGGAGCCGTAGTAAGGCAGGTTCGAATCCTAGTCAAGGCCACTTTTTTTTAATCGTTTTTTTCTAATTTTTACATATTTATTTTTACGTTTTACATATTTTATTTTTACGTTTTACATATTATTATTGATTAATACAATTTTTAGTAATGTTATACTTCTAAAGTTGTATAGATAATTAGATAATGAATGGTACGGAACCCTTCGTGCGCGAGTCCGACTCGCACTTGACCAATTTTTTTTTATATCAACATAGGTCAAATTTTGTTTTATTTCGTAATTACAGAGGGATAGCCTTGATTTTTTTTTCGATTTATCATAATTTTCTTCCAAGTTTTTTAGCGATTCGAATGAAATTTTGAGGGTAAAAATTATTATACGTGTTATATATTTTAGTACTAAAAACGTGTCGATAGATTCACCAGGGACACACTTATGAGTCCACACTGGAATATTTTTCTAAAAAAAAACATGTGTGCGCTACTGACTTTTTTCTCTTGTTAGGAAAATTGTGTAGGCTGTTTAATGCCGATTAAAAGTTGTATCTTGAATTTTGTCGAATTTGGTCTTCTTGATGCGATAAACGCAGTTTTATTAATAACAATTAATAAAATTAAAATAAAAATAGTACAGTAAAATAAAAAATAAAAATAGTATTTGAGATAATTAAAAATTATATACCCATTCAATGAACAAAATCTAGACACATACCTACTTGATACTAAATTGTTTATATTTTATCCAGTTAAACCATTCAACCAATTAAGATTGTATAGGGATTAATAATTTTTCTAAAGTAATACGGAATTTTTTGATTTGCTTTATTGAAATAAACAATCCTGTATTACAACTTGTGCAATAATATTTTTAAATTTACGAAAAATAACTTAGCTTTAAATAGTAGGTAGGTATTAAAACATTTTTTAGATAATTTTTATTGAATATTAGCTGCCTTTCACAATCGGTTAAATTTATCTGAAAAATAGTTATTTTTTGTAAACACTGCTGCGTTAATCCAACGGAAACTACTTGTCAGCAAGGTTTACAGATAAACAAATTTGCCTAACGAACAAAAAATGCTTAACGTTTCGGAAAGTTTATCTCCTTCCGTTGTCGGAAGCAAAAAAATACAAAGAATAAAGAAAAAAACTATTTAAAAGATTCAACTTCGAGAACACTTTAGTTTTTTTTTAACAGATACTTACTCATACTTTTTTTTAATACAAATACCGTTGCCGTTCTGTTAAAATGACATTAATCAAGTTAAACCACAGGTTAAACTTCAAAATTAATAATTACTACCTGATAACAATTACTTAATAAGGTAAAACCAAAAAGCCTCAAACGTTCTGTATGATTATTTCTAATTTTTACATATGTTATGTTTATTTATGTAATAATAATAATAATAGCTCCCGTATATAGCGTTTAACGCCTTGGGAGTAGCAAGGTACAGCTTGCGATACTAGAGCCGTTCGGTATACAAGAAAGGTAATGTGGCTAGCACTACGCTTCAACCGCCTATTATTACCTCAGGATTGTGAATCCCAAGTACTCATTTAATGCCGTAACCGCACATGCGGCATTTAGCGAAATCCGAGCGCTCGTCAACTACCGAGCGCTCGTGATCGGACTTTGCCTTTCCATCCACACATGCGGGCTCTGATAGCAACAACACAGAGACGAGCGCACGTTTCCGTCGCCGATCGAGTTGCCGAACTCCGACTTCCCCATCCACACACATAGGAAATCGGCGAAGCCCCGTTCGGAGATCGCCAAATGCCGCATGTGCGGTTGCGGCATAAGGCTGAGTCGACCTAGGTACCCAAACTATTTTTATTTTAATAAAAATAGCCGGCTGATGAAATGCCGGGTGTAGGAATCGAACCCACACCTTGAGATTGGTAGACGAGAGCCTGTACCTCTACGCCACCGGGCACCTTAATTATGTTATGTTCTTTAAAATCAAACAAGCGATCGATTGCCATACATTACTAACATCTACGGATGCATGAGCAATACATTTATTTTTATTAGATTGTATTAAAGAAAAACTCTTTTATTTTTCATGGGACACAGGGCACAGAATAAATTTTAATAGCGACAAATTTATAATGAAAGAAGCGATAGCCTCTAAAGGAAAAGTATCATCCGACTTTTTCATCAAGACATTGACGTAACTTCAGAAATTATTTGGAAAAATTCTAAATAAAAATGAAACTTTTACACCCTGTATCTCCGAAACTAAGCATTTTAGGACGTACATTTATACGAACTTTTTTACTTCTTTTTATCCGCAGAATATGCTGCCGAAGTTTCCGGAATACAGTTCGGACCACCCTGTATAACTAACACATTTACAAGAAAAATAGGAAGAATTTTAAATAAAAATATAAATTGATAAATCTTACTACACAGTGTCTCAGATTTGAGTCTCATCAATGAGAACTAGAAGAGATAGGAAGTAAATAAGTGGAGGTAAATTTAGATTTTCGTCCATCATCAGCTCTCTTTTTAAAATTCGACTCTGGATTTTTTATTAACATTATTAACGATTTTAAAAGCTTTTAATGTCACAAAACCAATGATATATCGCACTTACACAAAAATGCTTTTTTACCATCATGTATTGATAAAGCAATATTTAATTATCTCTTCAATTATTGTATTTTATACTAAATGCAATAAAAACGTAAGAGAAGCTTAAAACAATAAATAAGTAATAGTGAAAAAACCTCATATAAAAATATTAACTTTATTAAATAAATGGAATATTATGACCTAGAGATTTTTAACATTTTTCGTGACAAAATCACTGAAAGTTAATCCAATAATAAATAACCTGATGTATTACGCCATGGTTCAAAAAGATTCCCAAATATTTCAAATTACGTTAACGATAAATCTATTATACACACACTATTAAATTTTGATAATATAATAAAATTACAACAATTTTAAAATAAAATATTTTCCTTTGTTGAATCTGTTACAATTTTTATTCAGCAATAATTAGAGCTACCCAAGTCCTAATTTTATCAACAATGTTATAAATGTACAAAATAAATACGGAATAATAAGTTTTGATTGCAATATTTCCAACAATACCTTGCTTATATGATTAGGGGATATAATGAAATTAGATACGAATAAATTTAATTTTTCTATTGTGTGCTTTTTTATATATTGTAAATTTCCGAAAAAAAGGTGTGGAATGTCCCAATAAATAAAATGATTTACAGAGATAATTATTCGGTGTAATATTTGTTGGAAATATAAAATATTGCAATAAAATATAAATAATTGGTTTTCAGTGTTATAAACATTTTTTGTTTTTTTATTTCTTAAAAAAAAACCGAAACTACTCGTGAATTTTTTTTGCGACTTTCGGTTGTCTCCTGTTGTCTCGTTCAATTTCGTTTTGTCTCGAGCTACTTCCGCGACGTGTCTATTTCTACTACATACAACATATTGTCATTACTCGATGACGAGTATTTGACACGCATCAGGAGATGTTTACGCAAGGCGTTTCCTTTCATGAGCTTTTCTGTGACTGAAAAGCACGATACGTGATGTTATCTCTCTTCCGCACTCCGAACATTCAAAAATCTCATTGCTTTGTTACCTCTTTACTTTTTGGTTGTCGCTGTTAACCGAGTTTACAATTCTTTTCCACTGCGTTCTATTGTGCACTGCTTCTTCCTACTCATTCTGTATGTTTATCCTCCTTAAGTTTTGATGGAAAATATCCTTGTACCTTTTGAGTTGTCCACCCGGTTTCCTCTTACCGTCTACAAGCTCACCGTAAAGCAGAGATTTTGGTAGGCGGTTTTAATCTTTGTCAAGATCTGATATGTTTGAAACATGGTGGAACCATTTGATTCTTAAGAGTTGTCAGGTCTCTGTGGCAACTTGTTTAAAGTGTTGATGTGTCGGCGGTATGGCACCCAGCTTTCGCTTCCATATAACATGGTGGGGATTATTATTGCTCGGTACACTGCAAGTTTCGTTTTTGTGCTCAAGCCATGATTGTAGAAAACTCTGTCTTTTAATTTCCAGAATTATTGAGGCGCTGCTAATCCTGTGCTGAATTTTAGAGACGATTTTGTCCTTTCCGAAATCAAACTGCCGAGGTAATTGAAGTCCGCTACACATTCCAATAGTTCTTCTCTGATTTTTGGGGGAGTGCACATGATTTTAGTTTTATCGATGTTCAGCTTTAAGGCTCAAAGCCTCGTATGCCCAGGTATATGTGTTTAACATTTGTTGTAATTGCTGTAAAGTTTTTGCTCTACTAACTAGAGCGCAGTCATTAGCCTATTGAAGTTCTGTGATGAATTTTGTACGTGTTTTTGCCCTTTTTGAGTCTTTTTAGGTTGAACAGTCCGCCGTCGTATCCCAAGTAGCAAAAAGAAATTCTAAAAGGATTGAATTATTTTATAACAGTCGAATAGCGTTGTCTTAAGGACTGCTTGATTTTATTAAGCGTTTGGTTTCGACCAATATGTTTTTTAATAAAAGTTGTCATATTAAACTATTTTCTAGTGGTTTTTACAACGTATCCTATAACGCATTAAACGATAATTTCTTTTAGTATGATATAACACTTAATAAGGCAATGCTATATGATAACAAACATATTATTTTATTAGACTCTTATACCCACCATGAAAGAGTTCTATAATATTCATATAACTAGTAGTCACAAGATCATATAATAGTTACTTAAACTTGTCTTATTAAAGTTGTATTACGTTGTATGATAGAATGTTTTATTGCGTTAAACTACGGTGCTGTATACAACACCAGTTATATAGCCTTATATGATAAAATTGTGAGTAACAAAATAAATTTGCTGTAATATCTGCATTATAAAACTGGTAATGTATAATATAACCTCATTTTAAATTAAATTGTATACCTAGTTATTTATTTTGTTATTGTTGTTGTTGCAAAAGTAATATCTACGACGAGTATAATCAATCACAGCTATTATGAATTCTGGACAAAGTTGGAAAAAAGTTAACAAACGCAGTGGTAGTTATAAAGAGCATGTAAGAAAAAACTCCTCGAAATTACGGCAAATAATCTCGAGAAATCCCTGGATTCTCAAAAGCCAAAATCTCTCGGGTTGTCTGGCTTCTTCAAAGCATTGTTGCCACGTTCAAGTAAAAGTTTTACTGTCGTAATGTTTGTATTGTTTTATTGTTGTTTTTCCAAGTCCTTAGGTTGACTCTCACTCGTCGGGCTCACATGAAATGCATTGCGTACATGAATCCATGAAAGTCTGATCATGTTGGTTAGTTTAAATACTAATCAAATGAGATTTGGCAACATCTATTTGTCACAAATCTCAATATGTCCAAAATAGTTCTATAGTGCCTCGAAATTCTGCGTAATGATAGATATTTATCCTATAGCGTTTTATTTTACAACAAAGACTTATTTAAGGGATTCATTTATAATAAAACGGTTGCATTATAATTCGCCATGTTTAAGGCAGAATTTTTGTATGGCCTATGGCCGCCATTATATGAAGCAAAATTAAAAACATTAAAATAAATTGTAAAATGTTATTTTTGAGAACTATTTTGTGAAAAGATTCCCACATACAGTAATAAAGTGTTTAATTAAATTAAAAACAAGAATTTATGAAAATTTTATTTTATTTTATTGTTTAAATTTATATGTAAACCTTAATCGAAATTAAAGCGCTTTAATTTTTTGCCAAATACATACCTATAATCTACCAGTAAAATTTTCGGCGCAACAAAAATTGTCCCTACTTTTCAAACCCTATTAATGCATTTTTATATTACATATTTGTTATACCTTCTGGCTCTACCCGCCATTTTCATTGTCGAGTAAAGTCTCCATTTTAACAATCCACATCCCCTAGATTGATTTTACGACACGCTTAAAATATAATTTGCTCCTAATATTCTTCGGTAAAAAATAAAATACTCTTGTACCTCGCTAAATGATCAAATGTTTTTATTGTTCTGTTTCTTAGATGTGACCACGTAATACACAATAAAACTAGTTTTATAATAGTCATATAACGCTGTGTAAAATAGTTGCATAAGAGTGGTATACCCTTTTTATAGAACTTCTATACTACTAAACGGTTGTATAAAAATGGGCCTTTTTTGGTTGTAAAGCTATCATATTACGGCCATTTAGCACGTTATATGAATTGAGGTATCCTATCAAAATTATTACATAGCTGTTTATACAGCCTTTATAAAATAAAATTTGCTACTTGGGATCTGTATCTAATGCCCAATCCTCTTTGCTGCAGTTAGCTGTCCACTATAATGAAGAGTGCTGCCATGAATAAATGCTGAATAGGAGAGCCGCTAAAACACATCCCTGCCTAACTCTTGTATTTGTTAGGAAGGCATCGCTCAGTGATACATGATGTGACATTTATGACTTGTTGTTATGGAGGCTTTTACACCCTGTAAGAAATTTGTTGGGTACTCCAAACTTTTTCATAATTGCCCAAAATGCATCTGTGTTCAGTTGGTGTGTGTTAGTGATGGGCATTACGATTCTTTTTAGTGAATCGAATCATACGATTCAATTTCTCATATTGAATCGACTTCTAAAAACAAGAATCGTAACTGGCACTACCGGTGATAATTTGGTCGGACAATTATTTAAGGGACCAGAAAAAGAAATATACAATTCTTTCATATGTTTTTTAACATTTTATGACACTGTCGAAATTGGATTGATTATTTTATCAATAATATTAAATTATCAATCCAATTCATATTATATACTACTTATTATAGACTTAATACAAATTTAATATTTTTAGAGCCACATTTTAATTCAAATTTAGTAATCATAATAAATAGTATATAATACCGCATGATCGAAGAAAAATGGCGTCTAATTGCCTTATAAATGAACATGATGATTCGATGACATTCTCCATATAATTTTACATATAAAATGACAGCGATCTTCATTTTATAACCATCGCTGACGCCGTTTTTTTATCATATTGGGCAGACGCCACCAATATTTATTTGGAGTTGCATAAAAACTCGAAAAAAAAAATTCGAGAAATGCTTTGCGAAATGTTTTACGAAATATTTCTCATTAGCTTGAGAATTATATAAAAAAGAAATTTTATGATTGTGTTTGAGATATTTGATTTCATTATATGCATGCCTCTGTTGGGTAGTTATAGTCTGTGAAACGAATAAAACTTTGAATTTGACAGTTCCCGCGGGCTTTTCTAGTGTTAATTTTATTAGGTTAGCAACTTGCGGGCCATGCTGATGCAATGCCGTCTCTAATAGAACAGCCTCGGAGCGAGATTTTTGACGTCACGCTAGTTAGATACTACGGATTAATTATGTTGTAATACATGGAAAACATTCCTCGTATATGTAATTTTTTGGATTATATTCGACACTATTTTTTTCATATGACACAACACTGATGAAGGCTATAAACGTTACCTATAACGTTTTTTTAACCAAAAAAAAAAAATAATGAAAAACCAAATGAAAACTTAATCAGCGTTTTTCCCGAACCTAAATCCCAAAAAATAAAAAATTTTAGAATAATTTTACATATAAAATAACAGCGATCATAGCGATATTTCATAGCCATCGCTGACGCCTTTTTTTCTGTGATATTGTATTATTTGCAAATATATTTTTTCGCACATTGATGCTTGCAAAATATACATATAAATTTTGTGAATGCAAATAATAATACATCACATATATATATATATATATATATATATATATATATATATATATATATATATATATATATATATATATATATATATATATATATATATATATATATATATATATATATATTGTAAAACATTTGATGCATTTGTATGGTTCATAGTTTATTTGCCAAAGTATTTATTACTATAAATAGGTATATATATTGTATTTATTAACTGTATATTATGTATAGTTCATGTAAACTATATCATTTTTAAAATACAAACTAAAAATACGAGGAATAATTATGTTTTCCGTGTATTCTACAACATATTTATTAATCTGTGGTATCTAACTAGCGTGAAGTCATAAATCTCGCTCCAATGCTGTCAAAGGCTGATGACATTTTACTTTTGTCAATTATGACATTTCGCGTTGATTTTCCTTTTCTATTTCACGAAAGTAAAAAGAGTTACCTATCTGATTCGTTCAGGCACTTATTTTAAAGAATATCAGTAACTTTTTGGATAGAGGGCTTTTATATTTGCTATGTTGGTAAAAAATAACGGTCAAAATTCAAAGTTATTCATTTTATAGACTATAGGTCTGTTCCCAGAAGAATTTTTGACTAGTCAGCACGTTTCTCATTGGTTAAAATGCGTAGAAACCTGATTGTTAGTCAAGTTTCTACGCATGTCAACCAATAAGAAACGCGCTGACTAGTCAGAGATTCTTCTGAGAACAGACCTTATACCTTCATTTTGTACAGTAAGGTTTGTGTATTTATAATCCCCCTGTCTAGGGACAGTTTCTATCATTCAGCTACTCCTAAGCTAGTTTACTATTAGAACTAAAATAAAAACAAATAATTTTAATAAATTCAACAAAAATTCTTAATTTTTTAATTTTTATCTGTCTTTTTTAGGCTGCCCTAGCTCCAATAGTGCTTTCTTTGGTCTCCGATCCCAACTCCAAAGAACACTCTTACGCCAAGAAGATCTTAACAGTCTGTATCCTATCCATAATGATAACTACCACCATAGGAGCCACCCTGGTCACCTTGCTAGGCAGCAAACTCCTAAGAAAAACCAAATTTGCCGTTGAACCAGAGCAATGGAGAAGATCCCATAGGCCTTCTGTAAGAGATATCAGCATAGTCGATGACGATGAAACCGAAGATAGTGATCAGAGTGAAGAAAGCCCTAAAGATAAAGATAGTGAATCTGTAAATGAAAATATCGAAGATATTAATAATGATAAAGATAGTGACGTAAAAGTAGATATAAGAAGAAGAATAAGTGCTGATGATGAAGTTAATCATTTAGATTTAGCGAAAGATGAAACATTAACTGGTAGTGATAAGGTTAATGAAGATGATAATAAGTTAAATGTAAAAAACGAAAATTTACTTAGAGTGAACGAAGATGTTAAAGATAGGGAAACAAAAACAGATGTGAAGGTTAGTGATAAAGACGAATAAGGATATTTTGTTGTTGTGTTTATTTTGTATAATAAAAATGGTAGTTTTTTTAAGACAAATATTTTGTTTTATTTTCGAACACTTAATATTCTTTCTATTAAAATATACAAAAATTGCATATAAAGTAATCGCAAAACACTTTCTGATGCACGTGATCAACTTTCAGTGACAAGCGATAGCGACAGCGCTGTCAGATTGTGATGGATTTATGTGATGAATCTTAATTTATTTTTAATTTAGTAATTAATATTTTAGTTATTAATTTATTTATTAACAGAATAGTCTGTTAATTTCACTGTTTTTGCTAAAAAGTACAATATTTAAAAAATTACTATGAAAATCAACAAAAAACGGGAATTACTCCGAAATATTCAACAACAACACGATATTAACCAAAATAATGGCTGACATTATGATCAATATTATTACAAATTCTCAAGTCTCTTGGGTTTCAGAAGAAATTTTACCATTGTTTTGGCCTAAAAATGCCTAGAAACATTATTTCACAGTTTAATGAGTCAGAATAGTAACACTGTCTCAACAAGGCTACCGGCAAGTTGCAATAACTGAAATTGTAGGAGTTAAACAAAGTGATGTTTTGCGAATATTAAAAAAAATCAGGGGGACAAACGAGGTTACAGACCGGTCTGGAAGAGGCATAAAGAGAGTTACTACTGCTGCGCAAGACCGTCAAATATCCCTAATTGCACGACGCAATCCCCTGCTATTAAAAATGAGTTAGCTCGCCTTGAAGGAGTAAATGTTTCAAGAAAGACCATTGCAAGAAGACTCCATGACAGAGGATTACATTTAAGGAGGGTTCTACGTGTTCCGAAGCTTTATTTACATCACAAAATTACTCGACTACAATGGGCTGAGGAGATGAGAGCAAATGCACCGAATTGGAATTTCGTCATGTTTAGTGAAAAGGAAAAAAGTTAGTGAAAAGGAAAAAAGAAAGAAACAAGAATAGGCCTAGTGTTAGACTCGCGACGAATTTTGGTCTGGAGAGCATCTGGAAGACGAGTACGCTTGAATGCAGCTCAACCCGGTGTTCCGTTTCAAGGCGGAAGCATTATGGTATGGACAGGTATAATGCACGGAGCTCGAACTCCTCTTGTTTTTATTGATGGCACAATGACAGGTGCCTCATGTCTTAGAGACGTTTTAGAGCCTATTGTGCGTCCATTTCGAGGGGCAGTGGGGGATTAATTTATTTACATGGACGATAATGCTCCTCCCCATTTTGTGAGGAAGAGGGTATAAGAAAACTGTGGTGGCCACCGATGTCTCCAGATATGAATGTTATCGAGCATGCTTGGAACGTGCTAAAGCGCTATATTGCCAAAATGAATGATTCCCCCATACCTTAAATGAATTAAAAATTCCTCAACATCTTCTGGACAACTTAATTGAGAGCATGCCACGTCGTCTCACAGCTTGCATTGAGGCTCGAGGAGGCAATAGGTTGAGGCAATTGGTTGATATTAGTTGTGAGAAATAATTAAAATTGTTTTCGATATTTTCTGTTTAAAATTAAATTTGTTTTTATTGATTTTCACTCATTATGAAATAAAATTATAATAACAGCCTAGTTGCAATTAGATTTTTAATTTTATATTAGTTAGTCGTGTAGTAAGCCAATATGTCCAAAAATATAAAAAGAATCATATTAGGTCCAAAATAAAACAAAAATATCGCTATATGCAATAATTTTGGCCATGTGTGTAAATCTCCCAAATCTTATTTTATTTAGGCCGAAGGTTATACGTTATATAGTAATTAAAAAAAATCAATATAATTTGCTAAAGATTATTAAAATTCTGATTTATTGTAGAGTTTATGTATTGCGATGAAACCCGGCTAAGTAGTTTACGATTATTTCGAAATGATTATTGATTTTTTTTAATCGATCAATAAATCAGACGAAAAATTTTTATTGGCGGCAAACCAGAATCCAGTTTAGCGATTTTTTACGATAAGAGTATCGCAAAAACATTTCTATATTTTTTATTGAATTGCTAAATAATTAGATTTTTCTGTACTCTATTATCTGTTGACTGTTTTTTTATTAATTCTTTGAATATTTTTTTGTGAAATTGAGAAGTAATGTTATGTTTAATCAATCCTCTTATACGGCTATGAATCTGATGGACGTTCAAAGTGAACAAACACCCTGAGACGGTTAGAAGCTTTTGGAGGAGAAATTGGATCTATAGAAGACTATTAAAAATACCCTGGACAGACAGATGATGTATACAATGAAGATGTTCTCGGGTAGGGATTTTCTTACAAATATAAAATAAATAAATACATACCTGGACCATATTATGCGAAATGGAATCGCGAACACTACGTTGTTACATATGGTCCACTCTTCTTTACGGATGCGAGACATGGACGCTAACAGTCGAGAATATAAATAAAATAGAAGCCTTTGAAATGTGATGGTGCTACCGGAGAATCCTTAAGATTTCTTGGACCGAACATACAAGCACCGAAGAAGTTCTTGAACAGCTAAAAAAGATGGAACTCTTAACCACCATTAAGTCCAGAACCAGAAAGGTTAGCTACTTCGGACACACAATGCGTGGCACCAAATATTATATTCTTTGTTTGATCATTCAAGGAAAAGTCGAAGGTAGAAGATGGGTAGGTCGAAAGAAACTGGACCGGTCTGGGGGTGGAGAGGCTGTTTCATGCAGCAGAAGATAGAGAAATCTTCAACGAAATACTCATGGAGATCGCCAACGCCTGAAGACAGGCAAGGCACTGCAAGAAGAAGAAGATTCACAAGCACTGTTGCGAGCTGCACAGAACAGACAATGTTTCAAGATTGTTGCAAACCTTCATTGAAGATGGCGCCATAAGAAGAAGAAGAGAAGTAATTAATAGTCTCTTTTTGTTAAACAGAAGTGATACGCAATTCTTTTTTAATAAAATGTGTTTAATGTGTAGTAATTGTATGATGATTTAATATCAGATTCATGTTAAGGCGATACTATTAACTATAGAACAAACACAAGAGCCGTGTATATATTAACACAATATCGTATTTGCGTCGGAAAATGGATCTAATTGCTGCTAATTTTAGTCTCGTGGTCAGTAATCATTATTTGTTTATTGTATCGGTCACCCTATATGTATGTTTGGCGTCATTGAACAACTTGTGTTTGTGTATAAATAAATATATATCATCCTCATTACAAAACCATGCAAACAAACAAAATTTAAATAAATTTAATAAAAAAAGTTGGAAAGTAGTATATAATACCATTTTCCACTTATAAGCGATACCAACTAAACTGTTAGTTACGTAATCGAGGGCGCGATTTTTAAATTCATCGTTGCCAACCATGGACATATTCGGCGCAGGGCTGACCAACTGGAATTTAAATTTCCCGCTGTGGATTCAGGTGGTAGCTCTGCTGTGAATAATGCCAACTTGCTACATTTATTTATTTATTTCCTGACATTGTCATTCGTTTTGACACTTTAGATTTGTATTACGAGTTTTTGGTTTAAATGAATTTTGTTGTGATATTTTAAGCTTAAAAATTTTTTAAAGCAGACTTTGCAGTCGAACATTGTTCTTTTTAGAACCTCTTTTAGTTCGAAGTGTACAAGATAGCTTAATAGCCGATGCAAAAAACTCATTGCAACTTTATTAGAATATTTTGAACGGGAAAGCGGTAGTAATGGCCTTTTATGTCCTTTAAGTGCTGTTAAGGTGCGTATTCACTTGCAACAAAACACTCCGAACAAACCAAACGCGCCGCGCACTCCAAACAATCTGCAACGACCTGCAACAAAACTTTTGCGCGGAGCGTTCCGCCTGTTTGCGGTGTTCGCTGCGTTCCCACCAGTAATCAGTGTCTGAATCAGTGTTAGTGTGTTTGTCGATAAGGATAAGGATGCATCTGATATTACCATAGCCGCTGGTGCTTTTTTAATTATAGAGGCATTAGCGGGTACCAAAAAAAAAACGTGGGCAACGCGCCTCTTTTTGCGCCGTCAATATAATATGGCCTTACTTAGTGACCTAGATTATATGCATAAGAAGAATTTAATTAATTTAATAATTAATTATTAATTTAACAAATAGGCCGCCTTTCAAACTCATCTATTAACTCTAAATACTTTTCTCTGTTCCACTCCATAGCTAGGTACAGTTTAAAAACACCCCAAACACAACGAACATTCAAAACTGCCGTATCTACTGAACACCGGCGAACGAACAAATTCTTTTGAGCAAATCCCGTTTACCGACAAGCTTCGGAAAATGTTTGGCGCGTTCGGTTCGGTTCGGCGCAACGTGTGGTACTGACTACACAAACTTGTTACAGCGCGCGCGGCGCGTTTGGTTCGTTCGGAGTGTTTTGTTGCAAGTGAATACTCACCTTTGAGGAGGTGAGTTTTGTTGATGTAAATAATAACTGTTTATGCATTTGTAATTAATTTATTTTTGTTTCCTAAAATATTTTGATTAAAAGAAAATATAAGCTGTGCCGGTCAAGCTAAATCACGTAATTAAAAGTTTATTTGGTATGATCTATAGTTCAAGTTCAGATATTAGGGAAGAATGTAGAATAAGTGGGGGGGGGGGGAGGAGTTACCTTAGTGCGTGTTCATATTGGCACAGCTCGAGCGTTGAGAGCTGCGCGATGCCACTTGTTTCAAATAAGAGTGTTCACATTGACGAGCATTACGCTGCGCGCTGAGCTGCGTGGTGTACCGCATCGCTCCCATGTCAGTGTCTGAGACGCTTTTACAGAGGGTAGTTCTTATCAGTCAATGCTGTCTCCTCATTTTCCCCACAGAATCTGCATTCGCCGTTTTTTGTCAGCTTCAATCTCCTGAGGTATTAGGGTAAAAACATAGTGAAGCAGTTCATCCGAAGGTCGAAACAAAAAATAGAGACAATCTACACTTATCACTTTGGATAATTCTTCCAAGATGATCAGTAAATCTAACAAACGTGAACGAGCCTTTAGTATTATGTTTAAACCTGAGATACATATGAAATAAATTTTTTAAAGTCACTGACCGCACAT